TTGTAGAACTGGGAGGAACATCGAAAGGGAACAGCAAAGAACACCAAGGAATATCGAAAGAGAAACATCAAGAGTGATCATTGGGAGAACATCGAAAGAGCCCTGGAGAGAACATAGGAAGAATAAATGGGGCATAACGAAAAGATTTATGTGAGCTAATTTATTTCGTTTACCCTCAGACCTTCCTTTTTAGTCAGTTTTTGCCTGCGATAGCCGACCTTCTGAATCCAGAGTTTAGGGAGCTGGCACCCAACATAAACCTTGATAATACAGGAGCAGAGGGATACCTGGGATGATGTAGGAGCAGGGAGGTACTTGGAACAGTGCCTTTCAAGTTTCAAAAGACAACAACTGCCAACACAGACTACTATATCCAGCAACACTATCCGTCATAATTGGAAGAAAACTCTCCATTAAAAAAAAAATATAGGCTGAAGGAATTTATAACCACTAATCCAGGTCTACTGAAGATACTTGAAAAAAATTTTACTGAAGAGAAAGACAAACACATCCAGGAAAGAATCAACCACTCTTGCTTAATTTAATAATAGTTAAGCAAAAGAGGTACAGAAAACACCAAATAATACAAAGCCAAGATGACAGGAAATTCTACCTACCTTTCCATGAGACTAATATTCACAGTTTCATTTTTGCAGTCAAAAGACAGCAGTCTGAGCCTGGGAAGATGGGGCCCTATGGATAGAAGTGAGCCACTCCAGCTGGGCCTGTGAAGGACTCAGCCTGCCCCATATTTCTCGATGTTCTCTGTGCTCTCGTATGAAATGAGAAGGGAAGGTCTGCCGCTCGCCCCCCTCCCATGAGTCCCACCATGCTCCCCCCTCCATCCTGGACTGAATCCTCTAAACAATAGCTGAGGTTAACCTTGTTTTCCTGTCACCTACTACGCTCACAACAATGCAACGTAGCTAATATACGCGGTAAGCTGTAGTTAGAGCCTCCGCCGCGGCAGCAGCCTCTTTCAGTAGTCTGGATTCCATGGCATACATCCTAGTCTTTCTGAACCACTGCGTTAACTTCATCATTCTCTTCCAAAAGTTCTCATCTGCGGAATCAGTCCCTCCAGTCATGTGGGTAAAGGAAGGTTAGTGTGGGCCTAGAGGAACTTGGTTCCCCACAATACTTTGTAGTTCCATAACCTTGAACATATTTTTGGTTTTCCTGCCATGGTTCATATAGCCATTTTTATCTCTCTTTCTTTGCCCTAAGAAAACCATCCTTGTCCTGAAAGATGTATTTCAAATAGTATCTCTCCTACAGTTAAGTCATTCTTGATTACCCAGTAAAAATGACCTCTTTCCTTGTGACTTTGCTTATTCCTAATCAGAAATGACAGGAGAAGTGGGTTGGGGGGGAACAGAGGGAAGGTGAGGGGAACTAGGAGGAGAGGAGGGAGGGGAAACTGCAGCCAGTAAAATTAATTCGTTAAGTTTAAAATATACACGTGCTCTTATAAGCAAAATCTTATGGCAGTGCACTAAAGCACACTTCATTAAAAGTTATAAAGAAAAAAACCTCAACAATTCAATTAGGATCACATATGTTTATATTAGAAAAAAACTGCAAATTAATTAACATGCAACCAATAGCATAGCTCACTAAATTTTATTGAGAACATACCGCTCAATACACAGTCCCTACTGATCCAGCCACAAACCATCTGACTTCGTAAGTGGCCTTAGATGAAATGGGCTTTGTTTAATTTCTCTAAAATAGATTCAGGTGCCCCGCTGTCGATGCAGCCCTCTGCACACAAACTTCATGGGAGACTTTAGCAGTGGCCTCAGGGTGAATATGTCTCCTCTACTGAACATGCCTGGAGTAGAGAACTGGAGAAGCAGAAATGCCTGAAGGGCAAAGCTGTCCCCCTTACAATTTCATGTCAAACTGATCTCATCGCATTCTGTTTTCAGGTTATTTTTCCCTTAAAGGGGTTTACGAAATAATCTCTCTGCAGATGCTGCAGCTAAAGGTCTGGTTCCCGCAAAACTCAAAGGCATTTCTCTAGTTAAAGTTTACTCCTCTTAAATTACATGAAAAGTAAACCACTTGAAATTGCTGAACATCTTGGATTTTTCTATTATTAGGCCACGTCTGAATAAAAGGCTTAGTTTCTGTGAACAAATGGATAAGGCAGTAGGAACTGTGAACCCGCCCCATCCCTCCCTCTCCCGCCCTGGCTCAGTAGCTGATAGTGGCTGGTTGAGCCGAGCATAGCTGGGAAGGAAGGCTCCTGGGCCAAGGCACCACAGACTCCAGCTCCCTCCTCAGGCTATTGTCCTGGTGGAAAAGGAAATGGAGAAACAGTGATTGGTCAAGGCACAACCATCACACCTCTTGGGCCCTTAGAACTCACGGTCAACAAGACTGTGTCACTCCTTTCCTTTTTGAGAGCCGTGTCTGTGACTCTGACATTCTGGGAGCTCACAGTCTTAAACAAAGCCCTTCAGTTAGTTCTATGCTTAACTGTTAGTAAGAAAGCAGAGACAATAGAAAGCAGATGGGGAACCAATCAGCATACTTAGGCAAGATAAACTATAAATGAATATATTCCTGATGCTGACACTTACCAGACTCAATATACTTACCCAAACATAAGGTTATTTTGTAGATGGAATTATTGTATAATATTTTATGTGTGGGTTTTTGTCTGCATGTAACATGTCTGCACACCATATGCATGCAGTGCTTAAATAGTCCAGAAGAGGGAATCAGATCCTGAGATTGGGGATGCTTGTTGAGTCTCCATGTGGGTGCTGGGAACTGACTTCTGGGAAGCAGCAGAGCTCCTAACCATTGAGCCATCTCTCTAGTAACATGTTATTGTTTTAATTTTTTTGGTGTATGTGTATATGCACACATACGAGTGTGACTATGAGCCTGCATGCCAGCGAGTGTGTGTGTGTGTCCACGTGCATACGAATGTGAACATGAGCCTGTGTGTCTGTGTGTGTGCACACGCGCAATGCGTGTGTAACATGTGCAGAGGTTGGAGAACAATTTTCAGGAGTCTTTCCTTCCACCAGGTGGGTTCCAGGGATTGAATTCAGGTTTTCAGGCTCAGTAAGCAAATGCCTTTACCTACCGAGCCACCTCACTGGCTTAGGATTTTGATTTGGCAGGAATGTATCTGCATGCTAATCAGCCACCGCATCTCCGTGTTTAGTGCAGTGTTTGATAGACTGGGGCAGGTACAACTCTAAAGACTGAATGACTGACCCAAGGCCCTAAGTGTAGGGCTGGAGGAAGCTCAGAACAGAAAGGAAGTTAAAAGCATCAGGGTTTTTCAGGGCTTAATTCACAAAGACTGAACAATCCAATGTCTGTACCTACCTGAGGGGTGCAGTCATATAGCCAGGCTTTGGCTAGCCTTATAAAGGCTGAGCTGAGTTAAACCTGGAAGAAATTGATCCATCACTTATTATATTCATATCAGGCACGTTAAAAACAAGAATGTGTATCTACATATGTACCACAGGCTCAGTCTGTAGATTGTTACATGACAATGCCAGAGAGGGTTTGTGTCAACCCAATTACTATCTTTTATCAACATAAAAGATTCATTTATATTTCCACTTCGGTCTATTTTAGGAATTGTCTCTGTCAGTACCACTAGCTCATGCTTTTACAGCACTCACCACCACTCAAGTCCTTAACTCCAAGGCTAGAGGTTGAGGGTGTCCCTAGTAAATCTCCAGGAAAACAGATAATGCTATTATTGAGATGAACACCTGACAGGGGGCGCTCACTGGATACCTGTGTGATCTTGACTGAGTTCCCTAACCTCCTGCAGGGATACTAAACTTTGAGCACTCAGCCTAGAGCAGTGAGCCTGGGGCCATCACTCAGCGTGAGCTAAAAGCAGCATTCTCCTCTGCCGCTTGCAAGCCAGGGGACAGCCTTTTTCTGCCTTAGAAAGAAAAGAGATTAAAACCAAAAGCTTAAGGCTGTACAAGTGGAAGAAGGTCCTTAAGACATTCTAAATTCCCCCAAAGGCCTGAATCAAAGAAAGGGAGATAAATGTAAACAATAATTACTAACTAACAATGCTAACTGAAGAGTGGGTTGCTTAAACTGGGAATTGGGGATAATTGAAATAAACGAGCCTTTCCTGCTGTAGAAGACCTCTCTGAGACTTAGGCAGAGCTGTTCTCAAACTGTGGGCTTAGGAACCAGACGTCCCGGGAAGTCAAAACTCTGAAGTAACATTAACACGTTATTTTTGTTTTTCCCATTATTGCAACCACACCACCATGCCGTGGTTTCCCCTAGCAGTTACAGGGCTCAAAGGCAGGTACAAAATGGAAAGAGACAGTGGCGTGGCCCCGTGTTCCTGTACAAAGGCATGGAAACTAGTTCCTGAGAAGGAGGGGACCAACAGGCACAGAGGGTGGACAAGAGAAAGTGACAGGAGTAAATCTGAGCTAAGTGTGTTCTGTATGTACATGAAAATGTCGTATTGGGGCCACCAGATGGTCTAGTGGATCGGGATGCTTGCTATACAAGCTTGAGTTTGAGCCTGGGAGCGCATTTAAAGGTGAGATAACTAACCCCACAAAATCGTCACCTAACCCCTAAATGTGTGTGTGACATGCAAGCTACATCCTTCATCATAATACACACATAACAAATAAAATTGTTACATGTTTGAAATACCATGAGCCAGATGTGAGGGTTTATACTTTTAATCTCAGCACCCAGGAGACAGAGTTGGAGGATCTCTGTGAGTTTCAGGCCAGCTTGGAATACATAGTGAGTTCTAAGACCTCCAGGCTCTATATTGAAACCCTAACAAACAAACAAATTTCTAACAAACAAACAGCAACAGAAAGATGCTTCTAGAAAGACTAGTTTTCAAGGTACCTCAACTCTTGCTGATGACAGAATGACTCCAAGTCAGCCGACTGTTCTTCCCAGAACTCCTGAAATGGAATAAAGACTTTTAACTAAACACTCAGTGCTTCTTTTTTTCCCAGAAAATGTTAGCTCTTTCTTCCCAGAGACAGGACAAACAAGGAACTTGCCAGACCATCCTCTTCGAGGCGTTTGAGACCCTGAAGATTCTCCTCCAAGTTGCTCAGCTCCTGAAGAACCGAACTGTGAAACCTCTCCAGCTTGTTCAGTCTGCCAAGCAAGAAAGCAACAGCCTTCAGTGGGAGCAATTGGGTGTGACAGAATAGCACCCACGGAACACATTCACTAGAGAGTCTTGCCTTAAAACATAATGGTACCTTTCTTTTCTTCCCACCTTTCCATGTTAAGTGATCCCTGATCCCAGAGACTCAGTGAACTCTCCCGAGCCCCTGGCAGCGCCCAGAGGAAGCCATGATGTCATCACAGTACACGAGAGATGGTCCCAGGAAGGAGACTGGATGCCGTCCCTCCCCTTCTACTGTCTGCTTGCTTTCCTCTGTCTGGCCTTGCGCTGCTGTGAGAGCCATGGTCAGGTAGGTTCCGGCACCCATTTCCCAACAGTCACCATTCTGTGTCTAAGCACCATTTAAATGGCTCATCTGTTGGCATGCTGTCTCTTTTCCTTTAGGCCGGATGCTCCATATAAACAGATCTCCTGTGGCTTTCTGCTTATTTGGATGTAGAATATTAAAAATCTTTGTTCCAGGGGAACATTACTAGAAAGTGACGGAGGTAGGGCCTACTGGGAGGTCTGAGATCATTATGAACATCCTCAAAGGTGTCTGAGGTGTGGGACTCTTACTTTTATTTCCTGTCAGTTGAACAGTTTTCTCTCCTACACATTCTTGAGGGCCATGATACCTTCCTTCCTCTAACACAGGACCCAAGAAACAGGGCCAGTTCATCACAGATTGAATCCTCCAAAACCATGAGTCAAAATATGTGCACACTTGTGCACATGGGGCCTAGTTTTATTGCCACAGGGTCTCACTGCACCATCTCAGCCTGATCTAAAACTCATTGCATATCCCAGACTGACTGAAAACTGTGGCAATTCTCCTGCCTCAGCCTCTGAAGTGCTGGAATTACAGGCATGGGCCACCATGCCTGGCTACCTCGGGTCTCTGTTAATAATCAGAAAGTTACTTCACAGCTGGCCCTCTCAACTGGCCCTCGCATCTGGCCCTCACAGCTGGCCCTCAGCTGGCTGTTACACACTAAGTATGGAGTGAGCACCTGGCATTAGTGTTCAGTGTTTGTTAGCTGAGTGGATATATGGCGGAGGGTAAGGTTCTTTAAAATACAACAGGAACTCGTCAAAATCAGAGTACTCCATGGCTTTGCCTGGCCATTGCATGTATACAGGAACTTGGAAAAAAATTGTAAATTCTTACTCAAATAATGCATTTTAATCCCAAGAATGTTTCTATTTCAGCTAAGCAAATGTCCCCTCTCTTCCCCTCATCTCAAGCACTCTCTCCAACATGGAGCAATCTCTAAATTCTTCTTCCCCATTGCACTCATATCTCTGTTCCCAGATCCTACTCAAAAACTGCTTCCATAGTGGTTGTTCTAAGCAGACTCTAATTACACAGAAGCCCTTCTACACTTCTCTGAAATCAGGCGTGGTGGCACACCCTACTGACTCGGTCATAAGGGTGTTATATGTATTATATCGTCTTAACACAGCATAACCTAAAATTTACCCTTCTAATCATGTTTAAGAAGGCAATTCAAAGTGCTAGGCTCATTCATGGTGCTCGCAGCCTCACCATTACACATTTACAAAGTGTTCTTGTCATGAGAAACATAAAAGTCTACACTGATTAAACAATAGCAGTCTCTTCCTCAGCCTCTCTGGTGTCTGCTGTCTCTAGAATTTCTCACTTCAGTCGGTACCTCTCAGTTAAGTGGGGCCCTCTAGGACCTGGCGTCCATCTGTGAGAGTAATGTTTTCAAGGTTCATTCATGTTTAGCATGTGTAATGGTGGGTGGGTGTGCACACACACATGCATGTAACAATAATAATCCAAGAAAAGGAGGCTATCCTTTTGAGAGAGGGGTGACATGGAAGGAGTTGGAAGGAGGGTATTTGAGAGAGGGGTGACGTGGAAGGAGTTGGAAGGAGGGTATTTGAGAGAGGGGTGACGTGGAAGGAGTTGGAAGGAGGGTATTTGAGAGAGGGGTGACGTGGAAGGAGTTGGAAGGAGGGTATTTGAGAGAGGGGTGACGTGGAAGGAGTTGGAAGGAGGGTATTTGAGAGAGGGGTGACGTGGAAGGAGTTGGAAGGAGGGTATTTGAGAGAGGGGTGACGTGGAAGGAGTTGGAAGGAGGGTATTTGAGAGAGGGGTGACGTGGAAGGAGTTGGAAGGAGGGTATTTGAGAGAGGGGTGACATGGAAGGAGTTGGAAGGAGGGTATTTGAGAGAGGGGTGACGTGGAAGGAGTTGGAAGGAGGGTATTTGAGAGAGGGGTGACGTGGAAGGAGTTGGAAGGAGGGTATTTGAGAGAGGGGTGACGTGGAAGGAGTTGGAAGGAGGGTATTTGAGAGAGGGGCGACATGGAAGGAGTTGGAAGGAGGGTATTTGAGAGAGGCTCAGGAATGGAAAGGGAAGGGAGAGAGTGGTATGACTATATTTTAACTAAAAAACATGAGTTTCTTCCCTTGGTTGGGTGACAGTCGGTAGGATGGACATACCACACTTCAGTCTGGTTTTGCATGGCTCCCCGGGCCTGCACTATCTCCACAAGTAGACTACTATTTTTAAAGATGCCTGCTTTAGGACCGGTCACTGGTAGATCATGAGGAGGCTGGAGGAGAATGCTGAGTTAAGCTCTCTTCTCACGTCCCCCTCACACTGTACCTCCTTAGCCCCCACCCCACATAATGGTCCCAAGATAAATTCTGCTTCACTCCCACAACTCTGCTTTTCAATCCAGTATTTACCTGCACGTGTATATCTGGTTCCAAAGTCTGATGAGGCAGCCTGGCACGTCCTTCGCCTTCTCTAAAGAAAGTGGAATTTCTTTCTGCTTGAGCTAAAGCCATAACACACAAAAGAACAGACTAATGGCATTTGGGTAAACATGGTGCATAAGTTGAGTGTTTACTGTATTAGCAAGGCACCAGCAGCACACAGTGATGCTCGAAGGAAACATTCCCACCGAGAGACTTCAGTCCAGCATCATCCTGTGTACATTCCAGGCATTTCCATGGGTTTGGTGTGATAAAGAACTGAAGAAACTAGAAAACCCTATAATCATACTATTGATACAATATTGTATTTATACTATATATATATATTATATTCATACTATAGATATGATGTATTCATACTGTATATGTACTATATTCATACTATTGATAAAACACTGTATCCATACTACTGATAATATATATATATATATATATATATATATATATATATATATATATATATATAAAATATGGCCACTATACATTGGCGGGATTCTGGAATTCTGGAGGTCTCCTGAATTATTAGAAAGATGTTGGCTGGGGATGATATTTTTCTCAAATGTGCTGATACAGACATCACTGGGAACTTTCACATAGGATAAGGTCACAGGAGCCTAAAATTGCTGTGATATACATCTCACAGACAAAGCCGCGGTGGCTTTTACACCCAGGGCCTCAAAGATCTGCTGTTACTAAACAGACACCCTCCTACATTCCCCTCCTCCTGTGTCTTCGAGTCTGCTCTCCCACACACAGTCCCCTCCTTAATTTGGCCCTGTGGCCAAATCACTGCCTTCTGGGAATGCCACCAGTGAAACCAAGCCAAGAACATTTGGTCCCACTGGAGAGAATGGACAGGGAGTAGTCTTATCAATACAAATTACAGTGCAGAATGGCAAGAAAAATCAGGGACCACAGCCAAGATGAGTGCCCCTGCCTCCCACCCAGGAGACCTTCATACGTGAAGGAGATTGCATTGAAGAACGAAAGGAGCATAACACGTTAAATCCAGAGTGAACTGAGTTTCTTTCTATCGCAATTTTGCCCAGCTTTATTGAGTGATGCAGTTGACAAACTGAAAACATTGAACTGGAGAGATCGCTCAGTCCGTTTGCACCTGCTGACCAGTGCCTGCCCATTCCCCTCCTCTCCCCTGTTCCTGTTAACCACCTTTCACTACTTGGCCTTCTCATTCAAGTTTTGTAGATATTACATATATTGGTGAGGTCATACAGTGTTTCTCTGGCTCAGTTTTTACTTCCTGATTTAGTGGACAGATACCTCAAATTTTCTTTTCATGTCTCTAGTGAAGTTTTCAAGGGCTGTTTTCAAAGCAGAGCTATTTGCGCTATCTGGCACGTCTTCTTGGGATGGAGTAGAAATATCTGATAAACAAAAATAAAATATTAAAGATAACAAAAAATGCTCAGGTAGACATCCTTGGTCTATCTGCTGGGCCAGAGGATGGACTTTTTCAGAAGCACGAATATAAACCATACGCAACCCCAACTAGCTATTGGGATCTGATTCTGGAACAAGGCTGACCCTGACCAGGACCACACTAGCGAGCTCATACTGATTGAGTCAGATAAGCACCTCATGCTACCTCCCACCAAACCCCAACTTCTTTCAAATGTTCATTCCGTCCTAACCTCTTCAGCACCTTAAATCAGCTCAGTTGATACTGTGTCTGCGAACAGACTTGGGTATCACAGGAAGTTGTAAGAATACACAACAGGGGGGGACAGTGAAATGGCTCAGTGGATGGGGACACTTGTCACCACGCCTGATGCAGAGTTCAATCCTTGGGTCCCATATGGTGTAAGGAGGAAACTGGCACCGGAAGTTGTCCTCTGACCGCCGCACATGCTCTACAGCATGTGTAGGTGTGTCCATAAATAACAGAGGCTAGAGCAGGTTAGGCCAATGGGGGTGACCTAACAGAGTCTCTGGGTGCCAGACTTAACCTACGCATATAAGAGGTCTCTTAAGGATTTGCATTCCCCAACTCATTTATTCCTTACAAAAATCATAGTAGGTGCTTCTAGGATTTGCATGAAACATGGACACCATGTGACTTCTGCAAGTCCACACCAGCAGCTCCAGGAATAGAATGCAGGTTGTCTTATATCATAACCGTATGCCTCTGGGCTTCCCAGTTTATCTTTTTGGAGCCCTTCATTTCAACATATAGTACTACTCATCAAGAAAACTGGCTAAATTCACATACACATGCCAGGTCACTCTCTTTGATTATACACTATGTATGCACATAAATGTAATAACTATTGACTAGACAGAAGTCTCTAATATTAGTCCCTGCATATCGTAGAGAGGAGCTATGGTGCAAACCTCAAAATGCTAGAATAGGAGGGTGCTTGCTTTTATCTACAATTTGTGGAACAATTTGTTCATCTCAGAAAAAACAAAATGCTTAGCATGTAGGCTGCAGTAGCCCTGGTGATCTTAGAATGTAGCTTTTGTAATTCACGTTGGTACATTAAGAACAGACGCATCAATCGCCCCTCCCTTAGCTGCTGGCTGAGTGCATGGAGTCACCTGTCACAGCGGGGGATCCTGGAGCATCTTCCAATCTTGATTGCTTCGGGGCAGCAATACTTCCATCTGGCATCTCTAAACATAAACAGCACTGCGTTGAAACTCTTGTGTGCGTATTTCTCTTGTGTTGATGTATCTTGTCCTCTTTTCTTCTAGGAGCTCATATATGTGCGCCCACTGTATCTACACTGCTCTATGCTGATTTGGGTCTTTCTGCAACCCTCCTCCCAACCAACTCTTCCTGCATCCTCCGATCTACCCCCTCTTATACTCATAGCCTCAGACACACAGACACACACACACACAAGAACATCCTATAGAGTCCAGTTAGTACTGCATTTGTGTTCATGCATTTAGGGCTGACTCCTTGGAATTAAGGTCTTATCCCTAAAAGAAAAAAAATTATTCCTCTCTCCCTCAGAGGCCATTGAGGTCCAGTAGCTCTTCACCTAGGGTGGGCCTTGTGAGGTTTTCCTACATCTATGATGGTGTGTCAATTGGTATGGTGTGGGCAGCCATGTTGCCATGAGTTTATGGGTATAATATCCCTGTCCTGTGCAGAAGAAACTGTTACACAGCATTAGTCTCAGTCCTCAAGCCCCCCCCCCATTCCCACCTCCGCTTGTGTGATGTCCCCGAGTCTTAGGTGTAGGAGTTGTGTTGTGGCTGTCCCACTTGGGGGTGGGCACCCCTGCAGTCATTTATTTATTGCACTATCGCTGGCTGTGGATCTCCCTTTGCCAATTAATTTCTAACACGATACAGCACAAATGAGCCTCATTTCCTCCTCGTTACTAACTGCTTATGATGGGGCTGGAGGACCAAGCACTGCCAACGCATCAAAGCACTGGTGTCTACTGATGTCTGGAGGAAGACTTGGTCACAGACATCCCTCTGATGAGCTCAGGCACATCTAGGAGTTCTCTGCTTCACAAGGTATAGACAGACTCGCTAAACATAGTGTTCTCAATAAAGCCAGAAGAGTGGACAGCAAGACTATTTCCAGACGCTTGTAGCTGTGGCTTCATTTGTGAATCCTCCATTCCTTCCACTGACCTCTGTGTTTTTCTGTCAGTACCATATTGCTTTTGTTACTGTGTGGAATTATTGGAAGTCGGGTATGGTGATATCTTCAGTTTTTCTCCTGTTTGGGATGCTTTGGTGATTTAGGTCTTTTAAACTTTAAGGTCTCACACACACACACACTTCTATGGAGAGTGTCACCTAAAGTGTGATAGAGCCTGCACTGAATTTGTAGATAACTTTTAGTACCTCTTCAACAATTGGTGCTGGGGGTTAGGCACACATATGAGGGCGAGACTAGATCCTTAACACTTACTTTCTATAAAAGTCAACTTGAATTGTATGAAAGATGTCACTATAAGATCTGGAACTCTAAAACTATGGGATAAAAACACAGGAAAAGCACTTTGAGAACTAAGTATAGATGAGAACTTTCTAAAAGGACTCCAATTGCTTACAAAATCACTGTAAGAGTCAAAGAATGAAATTGCACAAAATCTGAAGCCTTTGCATAGCAAGGGGGACAATTAAAGAATGAAGAGGCCTTTAGAATGAGAGAATATCTTTTCCAGCTGTATATCCAACGGGGGCAAGTGTTTAGAAATAATAATAAAGAACTCCAAAACATATACAAACAATACAGTCGACAAATTAACAAAGAAATTAGGCAGATGGTTTTCAAAAATTAAGCATAAATGGCCAGTAAACATTTTAAAAACACGTGACAGTTCTAGTCACCAGAGAAATATAAATAAAAAACACACTAAAATTCTATCTCACTTCAGTTATTAGGTGAACAACAGACACTGTAAGGATGGGGTGGTGTTATTGACCAGTGTTGTTGGGAATATATTTAGTGCAACCACTGTGGGCAGCTGTAGGAAGAGTCCTCAAAACACTAAGAACAGAAAGACCATACAACGCAGCTACATCATTCCTGGGCCTATATCCGATGGACTCTAAGTCTGCATACTACTGAGACATCTGGTCATCCATTTGAGGTGCCATTCAAAATAGCCAAGTTATAGCATGAGCCTATGTGTTCGTCAACAGATGAATTAACTAAAGAAAACATGGTAGACCCCACACAATTCTCAGCCCATCTAAAATGGTGCAGGAGTACAAACCAGCTGGGTGACTTTGCCAGACCACCTCTCCTCTCTGCTCCAGCCCATTGGGAATCTCACAGCAGGGAAAGTTTGCCAGGCAAGTTCCCCAGACCCCCAAACAGGACCATATGGAGTTGCACAGGAAGGAAGCAGCAGGGTGAGTCCATCGGATGCCTACTCCCAGGCTGAGCATTAGTAGCCCCCACCGTCATAAAAGGCAGGCATGTCCCCCCTACTCACCTGAAAGAGCCATCACACGCATAGTCTACCAGTAAGTCAGCCCCAGATCTGGTGTCTCATGCTGCAGCCTTTCTATGCTCAGACCAAGCTCGGAGCCACATTCTCTTGCTTTTTGGTTACCAGTGAACTAGAATCAACCCAATCTTTCCTGCCAAAACTCAAGGCAAAACACCCAAAGGATTGACCTAAAAACTCTTCAGACCAGATCTGAAGGCAACCAATCTTGGACAATAGCCAAAACTTCCACTGAACAGAGGCTGGTCAGATGTACAACCAGTCGAATAAATCTACATGCCCAGGTCACATCACAAAACACAAACTATGAGAGGCCAGGACATGACTCTCCCTTGATGTGGAACCCCCCTCTGTATGCTGTGAATATGTTTTGTTAACACTGGTTAATAAAGAAGTTGCTTTGGCCTATGGCAGGGCAGAATATAGGTAGGTAGAAAAACTAAACTGGATACAGGGAGGAAAAAAAGCAGAGTCAGAGACACCAAGTAGCTGCCAAAGGAGAAACATGCTAGAACCTTACCTGTAAGCCACAACCTTGTGGTGATATGCAGATTAATGGAAATGGGTTAATTTAAGATGTAAGAGCTATTTAAAAATACATCTGAGCCATCAGTCAAATAGGGTTGTCATTAATATAGTTTCTGTGTGATTGTTCGGGTCTGGGTGACCAGAAAATGAAAGCACAGTCTTCATTTACACTCCCAGAACCAAGAAATATGGGCATTGCTAAGGAGAATTACCTAGATGAACCCAATGACATGAAACTTAAACAAACAAACACAAACAACATGACCAAAGAATTCAGGGAGTTTAAAGAGGATAAGAACACACAATGAACTTAAAGGGGAGAGGAGAAACGCCTGCTTGAAACCCAAGAAAATACAGGCATGCTGAATGAGATGATAAAGACAACTAAGAATTCAAAAAGTGGCTACAATAAAAAGATAGAAATACTGAAGAAAATCCAAGAAGCTATGAAGCTGGAATTGGAAAAATTCAATTACCCAATCAGAAATTTCAGGGTAAATCCTGATTGGTTAGAAAATAGAAGAGAAAATGTTGGGACCTGAAGGTAAAGTAGAGGAATTAGATCATGAAATCAAAGAATATCATCTCTTTGTAAAACACAGATGAAAAGGAACATGTGCAAGATGAGTTTTATCTAACACAATCTGAAAAATGGCCCAAACTCTTTTCACTTTTTTTCCTGTTAAAAAAAAAAAAGAATACTCAACCACATCTGTATTCTGAATTTTCCAGCTTGTGTTTGATGCTGTTTTCCATGAACAATTCTCGGCTCACAATCTAAAACACAAAATACAGACATATACAATTGGTACACGTACATACTTGTAAAATAAGAAAGTGGTACTGTAGTGTCATGTCAACACAATAAGCAATGGTTTTATGCAAGGGTGACTTTAATTCTAGAAAACTGAAGGAATAATCTGTACCTGAGGGACATTTTCTTCAACTTCTGGGTACTCGAAGGAAGAGAAACTGGCCGATGGATGAGGAGTTCCAAGTTCTGAATATTAGAGAAAACAATTCCAAGTTCAGTAGATAGAATAAGAAATGAAGACAAGTAGCATTCTGGGGCTGCTCTACCGGATCTCATCATTAAAAGATTAGGAACAGTCCCAAACACAAAAGTTTTGTGTCTCTCGGGGCACATATACTCACTGGGCTTGTATGCCCCTATATAAAATGAATAGTCAGTCGCCTTGGTTTGACCAGCTGCCTCAGTGACTGCCCATCTGCCCCTAAGAACATGGACAAGGATTCCGCCCAACCTTGCTTCTCTCTTCTAAGTTGCCTCCTTTATTGGGTTACTCTTTCCTGTGTGTGGTGACTTGATACGCCCATACATCATTTACTGATTACTAGATCATTAATTACTACAAATTAATCCAACACATCATTCGCCACCTACAGAAACTGTTCATCTGAAGATGTAAGATTTGCATGCTTTGACATCTCCAATTCTCCACCCACATGGTAAACATTTTATTTTCTGCTTCTTAGGGTTTTGAAACTTTTAGATTCCACACATAGGTAAGGATCACACAGCAGCATCTCTCCATTTGCATCATCCCATGTAGTGAACCATTCTTTAGATTCATCTTCTCCACAAAGGCAAGACTTCCTTTTCTATAGAACACGCGATAGAATCATATGCACACCACATTTTTGTCAACCACCCGTTCACTAGTAGACATTTGTTACTAGCTTACTATGGGTTAGAGTTAATGACACTGAGCACATTTTTATAGATTTGGTGGGCATTTGGGTGTTTCATTCATTTTTAATTTTTTTCACATCAGAACTGCAAGCTCCTTACGGGTTTTGAATATCAACAATTGACCAGTTATATACAAATGCTTTTTCTGTAAGTGGTCAGACATTCCCTCGGCCCTACAATCACTTTCCTGTTGATGCAGTCTTATTGACTTCTGTGCCTGCTTCTGTGTCATGTCTAAAAGAGTCATTGCCAAGACCAACATCAAGGAGCAGTTTCCCTAGGCTTTATTTCAAGAACATTACAGTTCTCTTGTTTTATGTGGGTCCCATAGGCCATTTCACACACGGATGTCTTACTCTTTGAGCGCATTGCCCAAATACCCACTTGCCTATTAGTCTCCTCTGCTCTACAGACAACTTTTCTTCTACTTTCATATGTTTCTATGACTTGACGTATCTATAAAGTCTAGGACCCACCAATAAGGACATTTAGGGTCTGAAGAGATGATTCGGGGATTAAGAGTACTGGCTTCTCTTTCAGAGATCCCCAGTTTGATTCCCAGCACCCATATGGCAGCTCACAACCATCTTTTACTCCAGTTCCAAGGATTCCAATACCCTCCTCTGGCCTCCATGGGGATCAGGTACATATATGGCACACATACATACAAGCAGTTAAGACAGCCAGACACATAAAACAAAAATACCATTTGACTTGTCACAGATGCACCGTTTAATCTGATTAGCTCCCATTGCAGCCATTATCCCGAAAACAACATGGTGCATGATCAAAGCCCTTTGTGTATATACCACATCTTTCTTTTTAAAAAGACTTCACGCATATGGATGTTCTGTCTGCGTGTATGCCTGCACGCCAGAAGAGGGCATTAGATCCCGTGGAACTCCAATTATAGATGGTTGTGAGACCTAATGTGGTCACTAAGAATTGAGCCCAGGATCTCTGGAAGAGCATCCAGTGAACCATCTCTGTAGCCCTTACCACATTTTCTTTATCCTTTCCTCTGTTACTAGACACCTAAGTTAGTTCCACAACTTGGTTACTGTGAGTCATGCTGCAATAGTTTCTAATGCTACATTTAATCCATCTTGAGGGTTTTTGAGGTCTTACTCTACTCTTTCGCATGCAGATATCCAGTTTTTCCTCATAGCACTCATTAAACACTTTTCTTTCCCTATCATTTAGCTTAGCATTCTTGGCAAAGATTAGTTGACCATATGTATGGTGTTTGTATTTGATCCAACTGGCCTATATCTTTTTGCATCAGCTTTACTTTCTAAACCTCTGTGATAGGAATTGAAATGCGGGAGTTTTGACATGAGAATCTGCACTCTCCTCCTTCCCAAGATTGCTGTGGCAGTTTGAGATTTTCCAGGGTCTCGTACAATCTTTAGGCTTTTTCTATTTCAGTGAAGAATGTATTCCGAATGTTGACAAAGGCTTCACATAGACTGCAAATTCTGTTGCATGCTGTGATATTCTTAGAGCATCAGTTCTTCAGTCCAGGAGATGAGACAGCCTTCCATGTATTCATACCTTCTTCAGACACTTTTGTTAGTGTCTTTTCTTTTTCTTCTTCAGCATACAGAACTTTCACTTTCTTGCCTATTGTTTTTTTTCATGATAAATGGGATCATTTTCTTGAATCTTGTTTCAGGTAAGTCTCTTCTAGCATAGAGGACATAACCGATTTTAAAATGAACACCAATTATGCAAATTAATAGAGTGTGATGTTTCTATACATCAAAATAGTATGCATTGATTAAAGCCAACCATCTTTTGTCAACCTTCCCCAATGCCACACACCCTCCTCAACTTCCAGTAGTCCAGCTTCTACTGCCAAGAGGAATTTAACTTCTACAAATGAGAAAGGACCACACGGTACTGGTCTATGTTTGGCTTATTTCATACAAATCCTCCAGGTTCCATCTGTTTTGATGCAAAAGGCAAGATGCCATTCCTCTCTATGGCTTAATAAAAAAATTCATACAAAAGCTGTATTTTTTGCTGCCTGTGCATCTTTCTGAGCAGGAGCACCTGGGATGATTCCATAGTTTAGCTCATGTTTAAGCTCATATTTAAGCCTCGCCCTGAAGGTTTCCCTCTCTGGTGCACTAATTTCATTCCCTTTGATGGCATTCAGAGAAGTGGGCCAGTTGCTCTATATGTTAAGTCTATTCTGTTTTGTAAGGAACCTCAAACTGGTCTCTGTAAGAGCTACACTAGGGCATATAAGAGTTCCCATTGTCTCCATCCTTGCCAACAGTATTTTAAAAATAGGTTGTCATAACTGGGTAAGCTGATTTCTTGTTACAGTTAGATTTGTTTTGTTTTTGTGCTAAAGACCAACCCCGCAGTGAACGAGCCCACATGAAAGGAGAGAACCAATCACTGCAAGGTGTCCTCTGACCTCCACATGGATGCTGTCACACACATGCACGCCCTCCTGCAAACACACATCCAATTTTACAAAGTCAAAAACTTGTTTGTTTTAGACCATTATCCCCAAATAGAATTTTTATAATATAAAATAATTGAAAATCAAGTACCTGTTTTTGGTGTAGTTGCCACAGGCGTTAAAAGCACAGAACTCCCTTGTAGTTTTGTCTGAGAAGATGTTGGAAGAATGGTATCATTTTGCCTGGAGATGCCTTTCCATGCTGGTGTTAGTGTAACCTAAAATATAGTAGACTTGTTAAATGCTAATATTCAAAACACTAAAAGTAACAAAAAAACTCTCAAGATATTTCCAATATCCTTTAAGGATACTGAGTATTATTTGCTGCATTAACCAACAATAAATACTAAAACCCTAACATCCCCAAACTGGAAGAACACTGAAGTAAAATCTTAAGTGATAATTTTAGCCTCATGGTCCTAAAAGGGTGGTCCCGGCCAGATGACCAGCAACAGAGGAACTAAACAAAAATGTACATCTTCCACTCTTACCTACAAATTACTCAATCAGAAACTTGGGGCGGGGTTCCGTACCTACCAAGTCATCCTGGTCACTCTGTTGACCTTATGTGGGGGTTGACAAGCTGCAGCTCACTGCCATTTCTTATGAATAAATACCCAGTTGGCCCATTCGTTTCCAGTCTAAGGCAGTTTTCTGACTAGCGTGGCAGAGATGGCAGGCTACCAATGGTGAATCTATGGTTCAAAGAATACAATACTTCTCTTCCACTTAACAGAAAATATTTCCTAGCTCTTGCCTCAAATTACTTCCTTGTAACTCAACACAGAGAATGGAAAATCAGCCGGACACCCTCAGTGAAAAGCCAGTATAGAATTCTTGCTCGTTTTACAGTTTTAATATATTAGGCTTGAATCTATGGTTCTTCTTTGGGCTTAATTAAAATCAAAGTTGTATTTATTTGAATATCTTCTTTTGGCCAATTTACTACTAATAACTCCTTATTCTTGGCTGAACTATTCAACAAAAAGTTGAAGATGGTTGCTCATATTCAGTTTTTTTCCCTTCCACGAATTCATTGAACTTTGGATCAAAAATATTCAAGAAAATAATATGATTATACCAAATATATACAAACCATTTTCTGGTTATTTCTTTTTGAATAATAGAGCACAGCAACTAAGTGTACAGTGTTCCATTGCATTGGGTATTTTAAGCCATCTAAATGGTGAGTTCAAGTCTACAGGAGGGACGCACAGGTCATATGTAAATACCATACTGTTTTAGGAAGCATATGATCATCTGCAGATTTTGGTATCCAAGCAGGGTACCGGAACCAATTGTCTGAGACACCAAGGGACAAGTACACTAATCCTGAGTTATAGCTTTAGCCTATTTCTTGCTAAAGAATAAAGTAGCCAGAGCTGGGGCTAAAGTGCTAATGGCATCCATTCTATTTCTGCAAAAACAGGTAAGGTATCCTCAGAATCCTAGCAGCTTCTCCTTATTAAACTATGATGAACCAGTGACGTACGTGTGTGTGTGTGTGTGTGCGCGCGCGAGCGTGCGTGTGTGTGATTTGCCAAGAAACAAAAAATCAGCTGCTGAAGAAAAGGAAGTCATTTAGCCACCTCCTTTTCAGGGCACCGGTGTCCATATTCCTAAGTCCTTTGATATAAAACAAGAATAAAGGAAGAGAAACTGGAAATTTTATACCTTTATGGATAAAATTTATATGAACCTGAAGGTGTTTCAACCTTGTAAACTTCAGGCACAAATGCTGAAATCATCAAAAAAAAAAAAACAAACAAAAAAAAAAACCTTTGAATGTGATTTTAAAATTATTATTTTTTAAATTTGAAAACTAAGGAAGAGCTCTTTTCCATCTTCCTCTCAGAGAGGCAGCTTCGCTTCTGCCTCTCTCCCCACTTCTCTGCTTCCCCCCTTCTCTGTCTCTTTCTCTTCTCCTCTCTCTCTCTCTTTCTTTCTCTCTCTCTCTCCCCCAGTCTCCCCCTTCACCCTTCCTCCATAACCCCCTGAATAAACATTCAACCTCAAAAAAAAAAAAGAAAAAAGAAAACTAAAGAAGAATCAACACGCTCATTTTGAAATGGAAATTCAAGAGCATGCATTGGTGGGAATTCAGGACAACAGAGGTGTTTAAATAAAGACCCATTAGCAGCATTCAGGATGGCCAAAATAGACCTTATATCTACCTGAGACTCATACCAAATATTTAGACAGCCATGATCTTTACATCAGCAGACGACACACCAGGAGGCGGCTGGTTTGTTAGTCTCACAGTCCTGAATAAAGATGTGGGTGGACCCACAAGGACCCAGGGCAAGCAATGAGTGCTCTTACCTGATCTTTCTCACGAGCTCTGCCACTACTGATGGAGGAAAGCGAAAGCGGTAGGACTGAAAAGTGAAAGTGAGCACACAATGAGCGTATTTCCTTATGACACACACACACACAATCACGCATGGGTACACTACGAGTTTCCGCTAAGGGAGGCGATCTGGAGCCTTTTCTAGGCATTCAGGCTCATTCATCTTCACCTCTGCCCTGGCCATCACCCTCCTTGCTTTGGTTTCAGGGAGCTGATGACTCCACATCTCAGCTCTTCAAGTCCTGTTCTTTCCCAAGAGTTAGCTCAAGACCCACCCACTTTTTCCAGAAGGTGGTTCCAGCTTATGCCAGATTCCTCCGGCCTGATTGCCCACCACTTTACCTCAATATTTCAACTGTAAGCTGAGCCCACGTTCGGTTTCATGAGCAAACATTCTGCCTTTGTAGGTGATACAGGGAAGGATGTCCCCAAGGCCACATGTTTCCCTGGTACCTTCCACCCCCATCACGTACTGAAGCATAAATACCCATTGATTTAACTGAGAAGTGGCCCAAAAAGAACATAAGCAAACTAGCTTACTCCTTAGAGACCTGACTCTTGGCTTCCTTCTCTGGGAATATGTTCTTAGGGATTTCCGTTTGTAATTCTGGGTCCAAGATCGTTCACTGGCACTTGAACTTGAATCTTCATTACTCTCAAAAAAGTGATGTTTCCTGTAATTAAACTTTTCCAAAACAGATGACAAATGAGAACACCAAAAGTGGGCACTAGTATCACATAGCATGCAATTAAAAAGTGGGCACTAGTACCACATAGCATGCAATTAAACATGTCACCACATGCACCATCAACTTGCAATTAAACATGTCATCTCCCCGCCCCCCGCCACACACACACACACACACACAACACTATTGTTTGTCTTGGGAGAAACACCTTATGGTATGAGCCTAGGTTCTCTCTCAAAATAATGAGGTGCTAAGCCAGGGGAAGAGAATAAACTCGTTCCTTGAGTCAGTTTTCACAAGAGGGGCTGTGGCAAAAGACAGCCGATTCTCTCTAGTCAAGTATTTGGAACTGGAAAGAGATTGGTGGCTGTCCCAAAGCAGCTGCGTGCCCACATTGCACCAACAGCACTACTTCAAGACAGGTTGACATTTTAAAGAGAACTCTCCCCCAGGGACTGGGTTGTGGCTCCATGGCCAAGTGCTTTTCTAGCGTGTATAGCCCTGAGTTTTACCCACAATGAGGCAAAAGGAGGCAGGGGGATGTCTTTGATAAATAAACTTTTGTTTTGTTTTGTTTTACAAGAACTGAAAGCAAACAAGAATACCACTGTGAAACATATTGAAATAAAGCCTAGACTGCCGGCGGTTAGAAATGTATGAGCAGCTACCAGAGTTCTAGGGGGTGAACAAGAAATTCGACAAGCTGCTAGACACAGATCCATCTGAAACACGAGTTAGCTCCAGCTATATCACTAGCTTAGGACTGGACCAGTCTCAGCCCTGGCTGTACTGCCATGACCATAACATGGAAGGTGGGTGATGGTGAGCTTGAATTCGTGTTTCACAAAACAAATTCATCCTTCAAAATGTTCATCAGGTTAGCATTTTGCAAAATAAAGACCACTTCTCACTTCTTTTTAAATTGACAAATGTTGCATATACTTATTGTACATAAACATTCTTGTGTACCTGTACATTATGAAACAGTTAAATCAATCTAATGAGTACATGTGTAACTTCCCCTGCATATTTTAATAGAGAAAACACCTTAACACTACTTTCATAGTAATTTCCATGTGTAACACTATTGCCTACAGTCATTTCATATCCCATGCATCTTTTGAACCTCCTGCCTAATTGCAATTTTCTGTCCACCCTCCCCAACCCCTAGTAGCCAGCATTTTCCCCTCTGCTTCTGTGTATTCAGCTATTTTAGATTCACAAGTAGTAGAATTCTTTTTGTGCCTGGCTTATTTCGACTGTCCTCTCTTTTAACCACATTCTTAACCACAGCCCGATTGTCCACTTTTGAAACACTGACCAGTCTCAACTGTGCACATTGACTATAGCTCCTCTTAGCCGTGATCTTATTACAGACACACTGATTACAGAGAAGGTAGGTCCTAAAAGGAACAGGCAGGCAGCCTTATTTACATTTTACTCTTCATTTAAGGGGAAAAAAATTGAAAGACAATCCCCTACACACACATGCACACATACACACCCTCCCGGCATTCATCAAGAACTCTTCAACCCAGTGGCTTACAAAAAAAACGAGCAACCTTTCATTTAAAGCATCCAATTTAAAAAGTCATTCAGTTGACCTAGCTTGGATTTTACAACAAAGAGTACTGGAAATTATTTGCCAAAAAACATGGGAATGTTTACAAAAAAAATGGTTCTTAAGTTTGATTACACACAAGAAAGTATTGGGGGTTGGCAATTGCTACAGTTTGAATCCCAAACATTTCCCCAAGGGCTCCTGTGCTGAAAGTTTGCTCCCCTCGCTGGGCACTGTCAAGAAGGGTGCAGCCTATAAGATGTAGGGTCTGGCGAAGGAGTGAATCAGTGCAGGTACCTGTGAGGAGGGGCATTGCACCCTTGCCATTTCCCCATCTTGCTTCCAAGTTACTAGGAGGTGAGAAGACCTCCTCCCATGTGCGCTCTTGCCAGGATTTACCATGCCATTACAGGCCCAAGTCAACAAAGCCAAGCCCTGACAGACCAAAGTTTCTGAAACCATGAACTGTTGGGACACTGACCAGGAATGGAGTTGTGTGAGGCGAATGAGAAGAACACTGAGTGCTTATGATAACACTCCAAGAAGACAAGAGTCTTGTCACCTCACTCTGTAGTCCAAGATGGCCTTGAACTCATAGAAATCCTCCTGCCACAGCCGCCACCACACCTGCTCCATTTCCGTTCTTTAACAGATCAAAATCCACTAAAGGTAAGTCTTGGGTGTACAGCGTGTCTACTTATTGCCTTTTCTTTTTCTTTTTTAAAGCAAGAACACTTTAGGCTTCAGGTCAAATTTAACTTAACAGGGTCAGGGGATTGAAGCAGAACCCTACAGCTGCCCTTTTGATAGATCACTTTGACTTTCCATGTAAGTCACCAGAGAAATGCCCATTTCTGCCCAATGTGCCTGTTTGGGCCACAGCCAGAGAAAGAACCTATCATCTCTCATCTACCAAGGTGCAAGGGGCCTCCCTTGTGAAGGTTCGTGGACACTTACTATTGTGCAAAACACAGACTGAAGGGATTTGGTCCTAAATCTTCCATGATCTAGTTACCAGCATAAAGGACTGAGCATAAAATTTGCCCCTCTTCTAATTTTGCTGATTGATCTCGTTCATCTAACTAAATGAGGCTGTTGCAGATTGGCCTTTTCACAGTTAATAGCTCATAAAGCAAATAGCACATGAACAACAGAAAACTAAGTAAATGTGTCTACCAATAGATTTGTATTGCTATTTCCTATTGTTATTTGTCTGGGAGTCTACCCACAATTAGAAATGACTCTGATTTTACGTTTGAAATTGCAGTTATCTCTTGTATAGTGAATCTGAGAAAACTGTAAACAACAAGGAATTGCAGTAATTTGAAGATGGCATGCAAATGACAGACATCTGAGAAGGGCTGTCTTAAAACAATAGAAATTCCCACATTACCGGCATCCTCCCGTCTTGTTCTCTGTCCCTCCTGAAGGCAGAATTGTCCCTAAAATAAAGCATATTAAGTTAACAGGACAGACACCACCTGCTTCGCCCTCGTCCCTGCAAAGGTTCAGCTCCTTGATCGTGGATGCCCTCTGTGGGACGTCCTCAGTTCTGCAGACGAATGTATCTCACAGCCTGTTTCCAGAGACTCTCTGGAAGGGGATACTGCTATTCCACAGAAAAGGAACCTTTGTGGAGTCCTTCATCTCTCAGACACAAAGAGAGGAAGGGGCAGGGCTGGATTGGCAAGTGGCCTGCCGGCACTGGGATCTCCCAAGGCTGGCTCCACCCCAGATCTGCCTGGGTGCTTTAAACAAAGGCTGGCTCTGGAGTTTGGGCGATGCTGAGTATCAGTTGGCCACTCATGTGTCTTCTGTGGAGAGATGTTGCCTGTTTTTCAATGAGGTTTATTATTATTATTATTATTAAATTCCATAAGTTTCTTGTCTATACATAACAGTAAGTAACCTCTTGTCAGATATCCAGGCTACTAACATAAGCTGTTGAGGGGTAACTGGGACTTGTGTGGACTGTTGGTGGCAGCGTCTATGGAAATAATACGATGCAACAGAAATAAAGACAGAGCTACTCCATGAGCTTCCAGTCTCGCTTTTAGGTTTATATCCAAAGGAATTGCGAAATCTGACATTGATAGGCAAGTTGACTGTTCCAAATCAGAAAACTCCAAATGCCAACGTCCAAAACCTCCTGAGTTCAAATAAGATGGCACCTGTGGAAAACTCCACACTTGCCCTAGTGCGATGGGTCAGTGACGTGCAGGTGCACTCAAACACCGTACAAAATCAACATCGTCCCATGGCATCAGGCATGGAAAGGACAAATAAATCACTCCCAAGATACATCACTGCATATACACACGCATTCCAAAGTCTAAGCCCCCAGAATTTCTTCTCCAAGGTATATGAATGGGGGATACTTATCTTTACCAAAACATGTTCATCTAGTCACCCACTGAGGAGCATCTGAATGGTTTCTAGTTGATGGTTGTCCTAAACAAAGCTGCCATGACACCTTGCCTTTGTGGACATATGCTGACAGACATCTTGGCAAATACACAAGACTGGACAAATGGGCCAGAGCGTAGGTATATGCTCAATACGTTAAAACTCCCAGCAGGCTTGAGAGACCTGCCCTCTGCACACTGTCATGAAGTACAGACAGCAGGTCTAAGATTAGCCATCCTGACGACGGGCAATGCATCTTGCCGGCCTCTGACGCACGTTCCCCTCGTAACCAGCAGCACTGAGCTGTTCTCGCCATCACCTGCCACCTCTGTGTTTTCCTTCGGGACATAACTTGTTTAAATCTTTTGCCTGTGCTTTCATTGGTTTGCGTCTTTTCCCCTGAAAATGTTCACTACAAGGCCAGATGCAAATGTTTACACATATTTTCAACAAGGCTATGGCTGATCTTTTCTAACAATGTTATGGGCTTGCTTTATCTTGGTGAAGTCTGGTTTATCAATTCATGTTGTTGTTTTTTACTCTTTCCCCCCTTTTTTGTCTTTGGAGGCCTACCACCCAGCTCCCAAATAAATTGGAGACTTTCTCTTATAAATGCCTGGCCTTAGCTTGGCTTGTTGCTAGCCAGCTTTTCTTAAATTATCCTGACTACCTTTTGCCTCTGGGCTGTTTTCTTTTCCTACTGCTGTATATTTTTACTCTTTCTCCATGACTGGCTGGGTGGCTGGCCCCTGGCATCCTCCTCCTTTTTCTATATTGTTCCTTCTCTTCTTCCAGAATTCTCCTGTTTATCCTCTCTGCTTGCCAACCCCACCTATCCTTGCTCCTGCCTCATTATTGGCCGTTCTGTTCTTTAATAGACCATCAGGTGTTTTAGACAGCAAAGAATAGCTTCACAGAGTTAAACAAATGCCAGATAAACAAAAATAACACATCTTTACATCGTTAAACAAATGTTCCACAGCATAAACAAAAGTAACACACCTTAAAATCATATTCTACAACAGGTTCATTTTTTATAGGCTGTTTTTGGTTTGGTATCTTCAAAACTGTCCCATGATAAAGTCACATATTTGTTCCAAGTAAGTTTTTGTTTGTTTTGTTGTTGTTTGGGGTTTTGGTTGGTTGGTTGGTTGGTTTGATTTTTGGTTTTTTGGAACAGGGATTCTCTGTGTAGCTTTTGGTGATTGTCCTGGAACTTGCTCCATAGGCCAGGCTGGCCTCAGACCTACAGAAATCCATCTTGTTCTGCATATCTCGAGTGCTGGGACTAACAGCATGCACCACCACCGCCCAGACCAAGTACGTTTTATATATAAGGTTATGACTCATGTTTAGTTTAATTTTACACAGTAAAAAGATTGGGAGGGCATTTATTTTCTTGCATAAATATATTGTTGTTTTCACCTTTTTTATAGAAAATTCTGTCTTTCTCCACTGAATAACCTCTGCATTTTCATCATATGCCAACAGTTCATATACCTGCAAACCCTTCCTTTTATTTTTATTTCCATATCTTTATGGCAACACCATCCTCTCACCATTGGTTAAGGAAGCTTCTAGTAAATCTGGAGAGCAGATAGTGTGGAAGCCCTGTCACTTTGCTCCTCTGTGAAAACCTTTTTCATTGCCCCAATATTTTTAAGTTTCCACAAGGAATAGAGAAATGGATCACTAATTTGATATTAAAACTGGAGGTTATTTTAACTATGTAAACCAATTTGAAAAGAATAGGCATCTTACTAATAAAGTGTCCTTCTGTTAAGCACAGTATCTCTCCACCCACTTAGATCTCTCACTGTGCTCTGAATGGTCCTTTAATGGCTGTGACCTAATAGTACCCTGCAAATTAATGCCTAAGTGTATCATATGCTGTTACATAAAGTTCTGCTTTGTGTTTCAATCAGAAGCCTGAGTTTTGTACACTGATCTTGAGTTTAATCTAAAATTCAGCAGAAAGCACATTGCTGAAGAAGGTTCACTTTCAGGGTCCTGAAGGACAAGGGAGTTTGCCAACACAGTACAGATCATTCTACAAAAAAACTTCACGTGGAGTTCAGATGGCATTGGTTAGGGGAAAATGGAAAACTCTAAACTGCTAGCATGTGGTACTCATATGAGCAACATCTGTGTCGTCTGTAGTTTTACAAAAGCCAAGGTGGAGAATCAGCCTAAATGTTCACCAAGAGATGAACAGATAAGGAAAATATGACACTGACGCACACACACACACACACACACACACACACACACATATATATATATGCTGGAACACGTATCAGTCACCAAGAATAAAATCCTGAAATTCTCACAGGGGTAACACTGGAGGACATTATTCTGCTAAGTGAAATAAACCAGATGAACAAAGACAAGAACAAGAACTGCATGACATCATTGTCATGTGAGATCTGCATAGTCCAACCTATAGAGGGGGGCATAAAATGGTGGTCACCAGGATCTAGGTGAGAGGGTATCATGGCGTGCAGTTGGCCCATAATTACATCTAGACCTGAGGAATGGTCCTGGTGTTGGCATCACATAAGGGTAGCTACAGTCAATAATAATCTTTCCATTTCGAAATAACAAGAGGCTGCTGACTGCTCTCACTACACAGAGTTGATGATTGTTTACGATGAATATGTCAAGAACTATTTGTTGATCATTACACAGTTGGTACTAGTATGGAAAAAACCCACCCTTCATCCCATAAACCTGAGCTGACACATGGATGGATGCATCACAATGTCTCCATACGCATGCACTTACTACAGATACTCACAGGCTCGGAAGCATCAATGTGGACGGTTGCTATGGCAATTCAAGAACAAAATAAATATGTTAAAAAATGGCAGCCACTTACTTCCCATCATCTGATTGAAAAGACTGAGTTTGAACTGGTGATTCTTGCACATGTGAAGAATGCTCATGTTTTGAAGTAATTTCTAAGGACCAAAGGTTAAAAATAAAATGACTTTAAGCATCTTGGGCAAACCTTTAGATAGAACACTCAGTGATGGTGGAGAAGACTCTCTGTACCTTGTTTGGGGCCCTGTGGTTTTAGTGTTTCAGGGGAACAGTCTTCTGAATGTGTCTGCGGCAAGAAAAAAGAAGTTGTGGTTTCGGGGAAGCTCAGTCTTCAGCCTTTGGGACCCACTCCACCTCTGAAGAACAGCTGAGCACAACCTGGCTCCCAGTGCTTCTGTTGTTCCTAAACATTCACTTCCAAATGACAAGCAAAGACTTGTCACTCTCAAAGATGACCACAGTATGCCACAGTCTGGAGGAAGGACTACAAAGGTGTCTCCAGGAGCTTCAGACTAGGGGCAAGGGTTCACCTTCCCAAGGCACCTAAATGGTGACTTTAAGAGGTGACAATTTGCCAGGCGGTGATGGCACATGCCTTTAATCCTAGCACTTGGGAGGCAGAGGCAGGCTGAGTTTAAGGCCAGCCTGGTCTACACAGCAAGTTCTAGGACAGGCTCCAGAGCTACAGAGAAACCCTGTCTCGAAAACCCAAAAAACAAAACAAAAGGTGACAATTTGAAAGACTAATCTCTCTAATCTCTGGCAGTTAAACATGAAAATCCTGGCATCCTTCTCAGTCACACCTCTGTACTATGTGTTCACATAAGGAAACAAGGAATAAATGCTTAAATAAGTCACGAGGGTGTTCTATAATACTGTTTAATTTTTAAATTTTCATATGAAACTGGACACATATGATGTACCAGGTAAGAATTTGCTCCTTGTCTTCATTGTGAAAAGTTTGACAAGTCAAGCTAAATGCGTCTATGCCCTCCGACATTTATTATTTCCCTAGAGAGAAAACACCCCAAATCCTTTCTTCCAGCCTCATTATGACCCAATCGGCCTACTGGGCAACAACACACCAATCCTTCTTGCCCTAGCCAATCTATAACTTAGTGCCCATTTTTAAATCCTAAGAAGGCCGGAGCTAGATGTCACCTTCTGCACTGGCTAGTTTTATGTCAACTTGGCATAATCTAGAGTCATCTGAGACGGAGGGACCCTCAACTGAGGTAATGCCTCCATAAGATCAGGCGACAGGCAAGCCTGTAGGGCATTTTCTTAATTAGTGATTGATGGGGGAGGGCCCAGCCCATTGTGGGTGGTGCCACCCCTGGGCTGGGGGTCCTGAGTTCTATAAGAAAGCAGGCTGAGCAAGATATGAGGAGTAAGCCAGTAAGCAGCACTCCTCCATGGTCTCTGCATCAGCTCCTACTTCCAGGTTCCTGCCCTGTTTGAGTTCCTGCCCTGACTTCCTTCCGTGATAAACAGTGCTATAGATGTGTAAACCAAATAAAACCTTTCCTCGAGTTGCTTTGGTCGTGGTGTTTCATGACAGCAACAGAAGCCTTAACTAGGATACCTTGATTGATGGATACCGAGCCCCAGGAAGACCAGTATAAATCAACATGTCCATGTGCCCCTAGCTAGAGAGGGAAGCCACCTCTGACCCTCAGCATGAGGCTCCTGCCCTCCATCAATTTGTGGACATTTTCCTCCAGATCCCAAATGAGGGGACAAGGCAGAGACCTGTCCAGGCAGGCATTTCATGAGACAGCCATGTTCAGCGAACAGGGAGAATACATCAGCGCGAGGGATGAAAGCGATATGGAAAGGGAGGCAGATGAATGGCAGGCAGCTACTGAAGAGAAAATGGGCTCTCATTCAAGAATGGAAGTGCTTCTCTATCCTGCGGGCCACAACTTCCCCACCTTCTTTTCCCAGCTCCCTTTACTCACAGCAAGCTCTGATTGAACATTCAAGCTGCAAGTTATGATGCAACGGTCATCTTCATCATCCACGAACCCTGGCAGGGCTGTGGATTCTTCTGCGTGCTCTGTATTCAATAAGAAAAAGAACATTTAAATGATAACCTTCCATGGGCCAAGCTGGCACTCTGCCCTTAGTCGCCAGGCAAGCGCGGCTCTGGTATATTGCCACCTTGTGGTAAGAGCTGGTAATGACGTTGTGCCTCAAATCTCAACTCCAAAGAAGCCCCTGACATGGAAATTCAAGAGAAGAGGCTTTGTGCCAGTAGGCAGGGCCCTGTAGAGTCCCACCTCCCGCCACCCCCAGCATCCTTTCTTCTTGGTCATTTCCAGCTGTGTCCCCAAAGAGGACATTGGCAGATGGAGTCGGAGCTTCTAGGCTGTGCTCAGCTCTTCATGGAATGCTGTCACGTGACCTCAGGGTGTGAGGACCTCTTCCAAGGCAGCCTCACGCTTCCTCAAGGAAAGAGTCAGAATTCTCTTGGCATACCCGCTTCTTGTTTGGAGCTACTAGGAATCTTACCATCTTCTTTTTCAAGGCCAGGGGAGACTTTTACCAAAACAGGAATCTGAAATGAAAGCCAAGGCCATATAACTTTTCAAAGCAGTTATCTTAGGGGGAAAAAAAAGGTTTAAAGCTTAGCCCCCAGCCTGTTGATAAATTAAGGAGCCGAGTATCTGCCATCTTCTTTTGTAAATTGCTCTTTCTGGCTTACTGTCTCCCACACCCACCCATCCACCGCCTTCTAGGACCAGCTCTGGCTCTCTGTCGCGCTGTTCTTGTCACTCTCGTGGTCTTCACACATCAGCCATCTGCCATTGAGTGCACTCTTCAATTATTGGATGCTAGAATCCCTCTTCCCCAGTGCAGTTCTGAGAGTGTGACCTTTAGGAGCCAGGACTGGGCACGTAGGCAGAGCTTCAAGCCCTCTGCCTCCTGGGCTGTAAGGCCTTCCTCTGTTCTTCTGGCTCAAGTTGTCCTAAGCTCTGGGGTGACTATATCCATGCTTCCTCAGAGATATGGCTCTCTCCCAGTGAGAGTCTGCAGTGAGGACCCGCATGGTCCTCCCAGCCTCCATTTCCTCACGGGGACTCCAGGAACTGTGACTCTGTCCCATGCAGACTCCAGTTCTCTACAGCAAAACCATCTTATTCACACTGAGAAATGGGGAAATGTGTGTGGCTTTGATGGTCCTCGCTAGCAAAGGCAAACTTAGAACACCAGGCTAATTTGTGGTGTAACAACATAGAAAAGGCTTTTTTTTCCAAGTGGGTATTGCCTTTCACCTCATCGCCCTTCTGAAGAGCTTTGGAAACTATATCTGCAGAGCATTTTACTGCTATAATAAGATGCTCTAATATATAACTCGAAGCAAAAGGAAGCCGCCCAAGCTTCCCTCCCTCATTTTGTTTGCCCGTCCTCTGGCCTTCCCATTCGGCCCCTTTCTGTCTGTTACTGTCTGTCCTTTGGTCACAAGTTTCTTCACCTTGCCCACTTCCGAGATGGAAAAACACCCTTATATGTGCTTAGGAAGAAGCGGGGTCAAGATGGAGACCACAGAATCCCAGGGCAGGTGCAGGCATTTCTATCAGAAAAGACCAGTACAGAGTGGGGGAAACCCCTGGTTGAATTCCCCCAGGGCCAGGAGGAAGGGTCAAGTAGCCTGGCAGGTCTCCTCAGGAGTGTGGTGAGGACATGAGAACGCCCCAAACAAGCCACAACACTGTCCACGGGAGATGCAACCATGCATTTGGAGGCAGGAAGAACTCTTGTGTCCTACATATTTAAAAGACAGTGCTACAAGAAGAGTTGGGATTAGAACCCAAAACTCTCAAGTCTTCTTCTTGACCAAAGGATACATCTAAGCCCAACATAGAGACTGAAGAGATGGGAGAACACATTTTCAAATAATCAAAGGGGACGAGGCTGGGCATGGCAGCACAGGCCTTTAACCCCAGCACTTCGGAGGGAGAGAGGCAAGCAGATCTCCATGAGTTCAAGGCCAGCCTGATCTACGCGGTGAGTTCCAGGTTAGCTAGGGCAACATAGAGAAACTCTTTCAAAAAATCAAACACAGTGAATGAGAGAATGAGAGAGAGAGAGAGAGAGAGAGAGAGAGAGAGAGCTGCCACCTGTTTGTCCCCTCTCAAAGCTCGAAGTGAAGCTTGTGATATGTCAAGTTGCCTGTCGAAGTGGATTTCTATTGTCTTTGCTTCTTTTTTGTTGATAATAATTGGCTCCTTCAGGTAAATGATGAACATCTTCATCCTATTATTTTCTAACAAAAAAAAAAGATGTGTTATATCAGGTGCTTCAGTATGATAAAAGCTATTGTCAACTGTCCAGAATTGTCTGCAATGAGAAGATGAAGTCATATTAAATAGAAATGACTTCAAAATTTTTATCTACATATACACAAAACATGTGACTTAGAGTCTGATTATTTGATCTTGTTTAATTGGTAAAGAAATAAATGTCATTTTGAATGACACTATTCAATGTTCTTATGAGAGAATTTTTGTTATACAATGGGTATTTTAGTTTAAAAAATATTAAGCAAAATTCTCTCTCTGAAATTCCACATAACCTTAAAATTCAGTTTTCAATATGCCAATATCCATTTCAGTAGACACTTCTTAAAGAGAAGAAATGGAAGCACCCGCCCGTATGTCCGGGTCTCAGGCCAGCCCCTTCCTCGATCCTACTGGAAAATAAGCAATCAATTTCAAGACTGAAAATAACTTAAACCTAAAATTCAGTCTCCAGGAAAAAATAAAAAACATGACAAGTACAAACTAGGTAGAATTATAGAACAGAAAAGTCATAAAAGGTCACAAAAGAGCAGGAAGCTCACGAAAGAGTAGGCAAACCCAAGAGCCTCCTGCCTACCACAGTCAAAAGAAAGGAGAGATTGACCAGCCTCCACCTGGCTAACAAGATGGCAGCCCACTTGAAACCAATGGCTCATACAAACCACCATGACCTGCTAGTGAAGCACCTACATCAGACTGTAAAGATTTAACACAGATAAGGACATACAATAGAAAAAAGTGAAATACAATAACACAACCATTTTATATTAATTATGTGTTAATATCTTTCAAAGAGTCAGTTAAATTGCAAATTGAGACTAATCCACTATCTGATTTAATAAGGTTAGTAGAAAATTTTAAACTCTCCCTGACGGTCTGGTGCATAGGATTTGACATTCTGGTCTCCTCGGGATGGGTTTAGTTCCCACTCAGGGAAGCCTCTTTTCTGAGCCTGGAAAGATGGCTCAGGGATGAAAAGCTCACTCTATTCTTCCAAAGGACCCTAGTTCAGTTCCCCGGCACCCACATCAGGTAGCTCACAAACACTTCTAACCTCTAACTCCATCTCCAGAAGATCTGACAAAGGGCACCCGTACACATGCACGTGTTCCTGGACACAGACAGACAGAACCATATAAATAAGAAATCTTTTAAAAATAAAGAATTAGGAAAGAAGATGCCAAGTAAGAATGGGATCAAAATTTGCTCTAGGGTTAACTAAATGCTGTAACATCAACAGAAGTTGCACTGGAAGCTTCGAGGGAAGACGTTTACAGCATCATCTTACCTGTTACGCTGAACCCGAGCACTGCTTCCTTCGGAAGGTGTACTGGCTCCCACAAAACACTCTTGAGAAAAAGAGTAAAAATCATGACTGCATCATAGTATTTATACGAATAATTCCTCACCACTTAGGGCTCCTGGGGAATGAATGAGTCCCTTACCTCTTCATTATCTATATAAAAAGTCACACTCCGGCTTCCTAGATTGAAATCAATCCAAAATTCCTCTAGTTTTTCATCTGCTGGTTTTCTCAACTGTGGGAGAATTTCAGAAGTTACACAGGAATCTCATGTCAAAGGGTGCAATTTAAATTAGGAATATGCAGTTCCTATTATAAGAACCCTCTGCGAATCAGAAAGCGGGTCTGTCTCACACTCTATTCCTGGGAAGCTCTATTGTCCTCAATATTTCATAGATACTTAAATGTGTCACACGGCTCTACCCACACTATTTTTTTTTCTTGGTGAATTCATGGAGGTGGGGGGGGGGGATCTGTTTTGTGCTAAAACGGTAGTAAACCACCCTGAAGAGAAATGGAAAGTTCTAGCAAAAAAGATATTGTGAGCAATGACTGACAATTTGGTGCCCAGCTGACCATCAGAGACCAGCTAACACTCAAGCTCAAAATACTTTTATTTTTATTATCACAAAATAAATACATAGAATAAAAATCGAGGATTCAAGCAATGTGGTGTTCTAGAAAGAGTAGATGTTCCCGACTCCCCACAGGTATCTGTCCAGAGGCTCCAGTAGCAATGCCTCTAATCTCCCCCACCCAGATGCTTTCTAGACAATGTAAATGGCCCTTTAAAGTACTAGCAATGGGTCTGACCTAACCATGAAAACCTAATAGTGTTTCATTCACACTGCCCTTAAGACTCTTTAGAGAAAGAGAAGAGGTAGACAGACAGGCAGACAGGCAGGCAGACAGGCAGGCAGGCAGGCAGACAGACCTACCTCCTGCTCATCAGCAAAAGCCGCCAAGCATGGGAATGAGTAGACCCTGCAAAACATCTCACAATTAAAACTCAAAATGAACTGCAGATGTCTTATAATAAGTTTTCGCGACTATGAAATATTGTCTACACAGGACACCAGAGGGCTGTAACTCTGCAAGCAGAGATCCACTCTAAGGAGATTTCATCTCTCCAGCAGGCAGTTTATAAATCAGGGTTATGAGCTGGGTGGTGGTGGTACATGCCTTTAATCCCAGCACTCGGGAGGCAGAGACAGGCGGATCTCTTGTGAGTTCGAGGCCAGCCTGGTCTACAAGAGCTAGTTCCAGGACAGGCTCCAAAGCTACACTGAGAAACCCTGTCTCGAAAAACAAAAACAAGTCAGGGTTATTAGGATTCATTTCAGAAAAATTTACTTGGTCTAAATTCTAAAGAACAGAGTAAACTTAGCAAATATTGTCTCAAAGACTTACCTGTCTGTGATATGATATCCTCAAGCACCTTTAGTTTTTTCAAAGTTATTCTTCAAAAAATCCAGGAGCTCTTAGGATTGGAGAGATGGCTCAATGGTTGAGAGCACTTGCTGCTCTTACAGAGGACCTGGGCTCAGTTCCCAACACCCACACTGTGGCTCACAACTGTCTATAACTCCAATTCCAGGAGATTTGATGCCCTCTAGGCACACATCTCCTATACAGACACAGAAGTAAAATGCTCATGCACATAAAGTAAACAAATTGGAGAAAAAGTTAACAAGAAAACCCCACTCACTTCAGCCTCCTGTGTGCTAGGATTATAATGTGAACCATGACACCAGGCTCTTCCTAAATTTCTAACCAATTAAGCACTTAATTCTATCAGTAAAATGTTGATCTTATATGCTCTTAAAATTAAAAAGATCCCAGACATTTTTTTTTAAAAAAAATCAGTATTGGATTGCAGCTAGCCAATAAGATAACCCCAAGTTACCTTCTCTCATCTCCGAGTCGGTTGTTCAGGAAATTGAGAAACTGGCGACAGTCCTAAAATAAGCAATACAAGCCTTTACTTCAAAAACACACTATCTTGACCACTTTCCTAAGCAACCCTAAATCTTCACAAAGATTCGCTTACATTAGCAATGCTTTGTGCTCAAGGAGACAGATGTAGGCACGCTTCCTTGCACCCCCAGCATTGCCTGCTCAGATGAAGAATACCCAGGGCTCCAAAGTCAAGGACATGATAGACTCATTTGGGCAAAAGAAAATGAGCAAGAAAAATAGATCTCCCTGTTGAATTCGAGTCCAGGATTTGACTAGCTGATCTAGCACACGCTTTCCTAATACCTGCCTAGCATAAGCCATATTAACTTTGGGTGAATTCATGTGTGCATAGTTCCCGTGCGTCTCCTGTGTAGGTTCATCTATGCCATATACTCTAAGAAGAACTACCTCTAGGATTCTCCTAAGAAACAGTCACCAAGGCACTGAATACATTGCCCTGGCATTCTAAGGACAACGAGACACGGGTCCAGATTGATCTTCATTTTTGTTTCCAGAGACTGGCTGTTTGTAGTGGACTGTTTCTCACACTTCAGAGCTATATTTGGCCCTAAATAGACATGAGCAGCATAAGGCTTTCTTTTAAAACCCATTTGATAGAGAAGCTGATGGGCCGCGAGGTAGTTGGAGAGATGGTTTTGAAAACAAGATAATTACTCTATTTTCACCATTTGCAGAGGCAGATAAGGGGGCATCTGCTTGGCCACATCATCCCTGGCACTCTCGATTCCTCTCGGTGAATTCTGCTTGCACTGGCTAGTTTTATATTAAGTTGATACAAGCTGAAGTCATCTTAGACAAGGGACTCCTCTGTTGAGAAATTGCTTCCATATGACCCATAAAATTTTCAGTTTGTCTCCTGGCTCAGTTTCCTCTGAAGAAATCCTACATTTATCTTCCCACATGTCTCCCGAATATTTTAGAGGCAAACCTGCAGGGCATTTTCTTATTAAGTGATTGATGTGGAATGACCCAGGCCACTTTTTGATGATGGTACCACCTCTGGGCTAGTGGTACTAGGTGCTATAAAAAGGTTAACTGAGCAAGCCTTGAGGAGCAAGCCAGTAAGCAGCACCCTTCCATGGCCTCTACATCAGCTTCTGCCTCCAGATTCCTGCCTAGTTTGAGTTCCCGCCTTGGCTCCCCTCAATGAGGCAGGTGGTCCAGCACCATCTTCTGGCTTCCAACAGCACTTGCCCTCACACACATATTCCTTCACACTTAAATGCACACAAGGAATATCTTTTCATCCTTAAGAAAATTAAATCTTCCCCTAAGCATAAAACTCAGGAAAGTGCTGAGAGAATCCTCACTACAGACAGAGACTCTTAGGACCAGAATTCTCACCGTCTCAAAATCCTGGTTCTTAATTTCTTTGAAAGCTTCAGCCAGGACTGCATCATCAAACCACTGAAGAGCAAGCTCATTCCTCAGTGTTCTGAAGGTCATTCTACACAATGTCTCGGATAGAGCAACCTGCTGGTTATAATCTAGAGAGTCAAAACACAGTAGACAGAAAATAAGTCACTTGGTCTAATGCATTCAGTGAAGTGCATTCAGAGTCATTATGTCCATCCAAAGTATACTCAAGGATGGCTAGGGGGAAATATGAATAGGTTTCATATGGAGAGCATCTTTAAAATACTATTTCTAAGCGCTGGGAATATTGTTCAGTGGTAGAATGGTTGCTTGTATAGTATGTACAAGGTGCTGAGCTCAATCCCTAATAATGTGAATATATATTTAGGTTTTATATTTAAGGCATGTTAAAATATCAAGTCAGATCAAATAGCCTTAAAATAGTTCTATAGCAAAAATAATCTCATCAAAGTTATAGTATTCTACTGCAGTTAGACTACATACTCAAATGTCAAATAATTCTTTTTTTAAGGTCCTGCTGTAGCTCAGGACGGATTCAAATTCACTATGCAGTCAAAGATAACCATGAACTCCTGATTCCCCCTCCCCCCCTTGTACCTCCCAGACATTTGAGTACAGACATGCCACCACACTGGCTTATGGGGAGTTAGGGCTCAAACCCAGAGCTTTGTGCATGTAGGCAAGCACTCTAGCAGCTAAGCTGCATCCATAGCCCCATCCTTGAATGACATAAAGGTGAAAAGAGGGATGTAATCAGATGGACTGATGTGCTGAGAGTCACACACTGTCTTTAAATCTATGAAACAATCATGTAACTCTTATGCAGATAAAAATTATGTTTGAGAATGGAAATACCTCCTGAGTCAAAGGAAGAGAGGACATGGGCATGGAGAGCTTTCTCTGTGACTCTGATGGCTTTTACTTGAAAGAATTTTCACTGATGCCCATGTAGTGAGATGTTAAAATGTGACAGACTGGCCAGGAGGTGTCCATTAGTTATCATGATTTCCCAGCAGGCCAGAATCTCTCAGAAGTAAACACGAAACCTTAATTTCCTATCTTCAGATGGAATTTAATCCTCATCCATCCTCTAGTGCCCAATAGTCTAGGCATTTCAATTTTTAAACACTTCTTACCTCCCACGGTCAAGATTGTCCTTGCCAATTCTTTCCTGAAACATTTACATAAACCACATTTTACTAAGATAAACATCAAGAGGTAAAGCCTTACCTTAACTAAAACCAAGATATATATTTTTTAATTCAGTATCAGAATTTTCACAATGTGCATATAAATACCTTTCAATGAGAATTTTCTTCAAGTTTATATATTGGTGACAAATACGCACTTTTAAAGTTGTTTAAAATAATTATTTTTATTTTATTTTAAATGCATTGGTTCCCTGTATGCATGTCTATGTGATGGTGTTGGATACCATTGAACTGGAGTTACAGACAGTTGTGAGCCACTATGTGGGTGGTGGAAACTGAACCCGGGTCCTCTGGAAGAAGAGTCAGAGTTCTAACCACTGAGCCATCTCTCCAATCCCCTGATATGCATTTTCAAAGAAGCTAGAAGTTACTGTATTTTTGAGATTCCATTTTCTCTTTCATGAAGTAAATTTAGCTTTCTAAAATCTGAGAGTCCATTGTATGATCTGCTTCTAAAATTTGATGTTTCTTAGGGGTTTTTTTGGAATTGGGGTAGGAAGGTTTTTTTCCCCCACAACAGGGGCCTAACCTTGAACTCAGAGCAATCCCCTTGCCTCAGCCTCTACAGGCATGAGCCACTTCTAGTTGTTCCCTTTCACCAATCAGCAGCCCACGGGAGTACTCATCATACATACAGCTTAAACTTGATGGGGCTTAGACCTTTGGTCCTGTGCTTCTCCTATGACAAAGCTGATGCAATACTCAACTGACTAACTTAGTTTTGAAACATAATGAAAGTAAGCGAATACATTTTAATTTTACATTGCTGTTACACTGTAATCTTAGATTCTCCTTCAGAGTGCTAGTGTGTATCCATCCACTCTAGTATGTCCATCAAACACTAAAACACACGGTTTTCCTTAATATGTGACACTCTTTGTGTATGGCTGGAGCAGGCCGGGTGGTACTGAGGCTCAGCCTAAGGCTTTGTGCACGCTAAGTAGGTGCATCATTCAGCTACATCCACAGCCCTTGGTGCTTTGAGACCATTTTACTGTTTAAGCCCAAGCCAGCCTTACCCTGATGATCCTGTCTCGGTCTGAGTGACTGGGATGTCATGGGTACACCACCACACTTGGCAAAATACTCATTTTAAAGAATAAAGATGTCTTGTGGGGTTGGGAGAAAGCTTAAGCAGTGAAGGCCCTCACAAGTGTAGGGCCCAGAGTTCTAGCTACAGAAGCCACATAAAAACAAAAACAGACATCCACGTTCTCCTCTAGGGTCTAGCCTGGTAAGTTGCCCTCACCACCCCATAGTTTTCCTGAATTCACCATACCTAGCTAGGGTTCCACAGCTAGTGATGCGACCTAGTCTGGCCATCCTTTTCAAGTTTGAACAGCAATCAAACTCTAAGCTTCTATGGGGTCTGACACTCCCAGCTCTTCATAGTCCTACCCCCTCTAACATGCAGCCAACTGAGAGCACCCACTAGGACCTGCCTTATCTATATCCACCCATGCAGGACCCTTTGCACTGTCTCTACCACCTTACTCTATACCCAAACATCTCATGTCCTCTTCCATGTTCTAGCCTGGTGGCTACCCCGACCTCCTTATCCATGCCTTTTTCACAAGGCACCAGAGTTAGCATAGGTCCCACAAGCCACTAGCCTAGGGGCCTTGCCTGCCTTCCTTACAAAAGAGCTACAGACTTGGGCCAGTGGCCTAGCTAAGAATCCATCAAACCACAGAGCTCTCCAATGTCATATGTAACTTTTCCACTCAGACATCTACCCCATTCCTGTCTGGGCTCAAAACAAATCTTTACAAATTAAAAACAATTGAAATCACTTTCTGTATCCTGTGTCTCAATACAATACAATAAAAATTAAAATTGATAGCAAAAAAAATGCTAGTAAATACACAACCTTATGGAGATCTGCCAACTTATTACTAAACAATGAATGGGTGAAAGAAGAAGTCAAGAAGAAAAGAAATTCCTGGAACTAAATGAAAACACAACACAGCAAAACCTCTGGAACACCTTGAAAGATATAATGAGGAAAACATTATATCTCTAAGTGCCTACAATAAATATTAGAAAAAACACTAATAAGTGACTTAATTATGCAACTTGAAAAGTAGGGGGAAAAGAACAAATCTAAATTTAGTCTACAGTAATAATAAAAATCAGAGCAGAAATCAATAAAATAGAAACAAAGACAATAATACAAAAATAATCAACAAATCTAAGAGCTGGTTCTTGGAGAATATGAACAAGATTGACAGACCCTTGGTCCAACTACCAAAAGAGAACTCTATTCACAGAATCAGAAATAAACAAAGAGACACCAAAGAAATTTATAATATTAAAGGGGAATGTTTTTAAAATTTACTTTGTTGAGCTGAAAAAAATCTAAAAGAAACAAACGTTTTTCTAGATTCAGCCAAACCATCAATATTAAACCAAGAATGAATTAATAATCTAAACAGATCCATAACATATGAGGAGTTTGAAACAGCAATTAAAAGCCTTCCAGGAAAAAAAAAGTCCATGGCTACATGAACTCACAGCAGAATTATAAGGACATTCAAAGAAAATCTATAACCAGTCCTTTTTAACTATTTGAGACAATTGAAACAGAAAAACATACAGACTCCTTCTACAAAGTCAGTATCTCTCTAATACCAAAATAAAGTAGACACACACAAGGGAAACTATAGGCCAACATTCCTAATGAAGATAAATTAAAAAAGAACCAATAAAATACTTGCAGTGAGGATACAGACATACATCAAAAAGAGTATACACGGTGAACAAGTTCTATCGTTGAACTGCATCGATGGTTCAACATAATCAAGTCAATAAATGTAATAACCCACACAAATGAAGCTAGAGACAAAAATCACATGACTGTATCAATAGATAACACAAAGAGCCTTTGACAAAATTCAACATGCCTTCGTGATGAAAGTCCTAGGGAACATAGGGCTAGAAGAAACATACCTAAACATAATATGAGAAACCTACAGCCAACATTATCCTAAATGAAGGAAAGGTCAAAACAATCCAACCGAAGTCAGGAACAAGACAGGGATGCCTGCTATCCCCACTCCTTTTCAACTAGTCAAAGTACTAGTTAAAGCAACAAGGCAAGAGAAGGAAATTGAAGGGGTACAAATAGAAAAAGAAGTCAAACTATCCCTATTTGCAGATGGCAATGAGAGATTCCAAATGCTCTATCCCAAAACTTTTAGAGATGATATGAAAATTCAGAAATATAGCAAAATACAGGACCAATCTGCAGCTATCAATAGCTTTTCTATATGCCAACAATAAATATACAGGAAGGAGATCATGAGCACACTCCCGTTCACAATAGCCTCAAAGAAAATATCTAGAAATAAACTGAGCCAAGGAAGTGAAGGACCTCTCCAGTAAAACTGTAGACTAGAAAATGGGAGGCTATCCCATGCTCAAGGATTGGTAGAATTAACAATGTGGAAATGACCATTCTACCAAGATCTATTTACATATCCAATGGAATCCCAATCAAAATCCTTATTTCCTTCATCACAGAAATAGGAAAAAAACTATCATAAAATAAAAACATAAAAGATCCCAGGTAGCCAAAACAAGTACAAAGGACCCTGCTGGAAGGATTACAATTTCAGATTTTAAGCTATGCTACAGAAATAAAGGAATAAAAGCAACATGATGCTAGCACAGAAAGAGCCAAGTAGACCAATGGAACAAAATAGAAGCCCCAACACTAGTAATTCACCTTTCACTTTAGACAATACTTAACAAAGATGCTAAAAACGTAAGTCAGAAAAAAGGGAATCGTTTTCAATGAATGGTGCTGGGAAAACTGGATGTCGGTATGAAGAAGAATGAAATTAGCCCTGCATTTATCATCTTGCACAGAAATTAACCCCAAAGGGATCAAAGACCTAAATGTGAAACACTGAACCTACTAAAAGGAAACATAGGTAGAACCCTCCGTGATTCAGGTGTGAGAGTCCCGTTCAGGAAGTCCTTTCTATATATGCATGAGTTAAGACTAACAATAGACAAGTGGGGCTTCATGAAACTGAGAAGCTTCTGCACAGCTTATCAAACAGTCATCCAGACAAAGAAAAAGTCCACAGACTGGAAGAGAGGTTAAAATCCAAAATACACAAAGAACAAACAAAAATCAAACAAAAAGTAAAAATAAATAAATGGATAACCCGTTCCAACAATGAGACCTGAATTCTCAAAAAAAAAAAAAAGAAAAAGAATGGCTAAGAAATACCTTGAAACATGTCCATCATCTATAACAATTAGGAAAACGCAAATCAAAATGATTTTAAGATTTCATCTTACACAGTCTGAATGCTAAAGGTCAGTAGCAGAGCTGACAACAAAGGGTGGAGGGGTGCGGTAAAAACTGAACTTTCACTCACTGTGGGCAAGCTTGCTAACTCATGCAGCCAACATGGAAATCAGCGTGGAGAAACCCAAAAGCTTAAACTAGATCGACCGTATGACCCAGCTATACCACTCTGGCATAGGCCCAAAGGACTCAATATTGTTCTTCACAGATATTTGGTCAGCCATGTTCATAGCTGCTCTAGTCACAATAGCTAGGAAATGGAAGCAACCTAAATGCCCCACAACCAAAGAAAGATAAGAAAAATGTGGTATCTATACATTATGGAATACTATTCAATGGCAGGTAAAAATGAAATCATGAACTTTGCAGGCAAACCAGTGGAATTATGAGAGATCATATGAGGTAACCCAGAAAGACAAACACTCAATGGCCTCTCCTATTGGAAGCTCCTTGTTCCTCACACTGCCTGTAGTAACTATAGAAGAAACCAGGAAGTAAAATGGAACAATTACCAGGGTAGGGGAGTTGTGGAGCAATAGAGGGGATTGGCAGAGCACAAGTGATCTGATAAAGAAAATATGGTATAGGAATAGGAAATAAGGGGAAGAGGGAAATACAGGCGAAGGGAGGAGAAAGGGGTGGGGGAGTGGTCTAATAGAGGAAAGAGGGCTCCTTAGGGAAGGGAGCAAAATACAGGAGAAGAGGGAGGTGGGTAAAATAATGATATGGGTTCCTGAAAAAGCCACAAGAATTATTCTATTAATTATTAACCCAAAAACCTTGTAATACCAGGTCTGGAGAGGAGGAGAGTTTCTGGGGCTCAGCCAGCAGCCAGCCAGCCTAGCTTATTTAAGAAATACCAGTGAGCTCCACACACACATGTATATACCTATACACACACACATACACACACGCACACATTCACACACACACACACTCACACATGCCCCTTGATATCCTACCCTAAGTCAACAAAGGAGTTCACAGTTATGTAACCAGCTGAGAGGACATTTTGGCCCACAGATTCATTGCCAAAGGCAAAACAACAAACAAAAAAGAAAACCTGCACGGTTAAGAGCAGAGCCTGGTTTGTCCCTTGGTCTTCAGTCCCTTCCAGCCCAATAATGGGTGAGCTCACAAGGCACACGCTGAAGGAAGGAATGGCATAGGTGGGCATGCAGAGGATAAAGAGCAGTACAGAGATTTGGGGTTCCCACCACCACCTGAGTGTGAGGTCACTTACATAACACTGCACGTGCCTTCTGCTGAAGAGAGCTTTCTTCTCTCTTTCCGGGGTGCAGCGTCCAGAATGCAGTTCAGGGTACTCAGCGCCTGTTCAGAATCGGAAGGACGATTCATGCACGGTAAAGAAACAAAATGAAAAGTCGCACGCGCCTTCTCTGAGTTTCCAGGGCACTGTTAACTCTCCGTTTAGTGACGACTCACCTCCTGATGAATGGAGAGCTCCACAGTGCAGTCCGCCACCAGCCGTCCTAAACTAAGTAGGAAGGAATCCAGCATCTGGATTGTCCCTGAAAGCGCAATTGTGAAAGCACCAAATGGATGATGGAAGGAGTCGGAGCCGACTCCTACGCAGCCTGAAGAAGTACAAACTGGGAGCAGTATCCAATGCAGGAATGACAGTCTAGGCAAGGGACAGGTTACAGTCAGGCAGCTACAGTCACGGTAGCCCCCAGGTTTCAAGACAATTGCTTACATAATACCCACAAAGGACTGTAACAGCAGCCCGAGCAAAGTGTGGGTAGCATCACTGTCAGCGCTGGAACCTGGACTAAGCCACTTTCTGTCCACAATGGACAATGTTCTAAGAGCCAGCATGTGGGTTGTGCTGTTTACATGGTTTATATAAATTTGTGTTATATAATAGTTCAAATATTAGACTTAGTATACAAATTAAAATGCCATAAGGTCTATAACTCTGAAGCAGAAACTTTTAAATAAGTTGGTCTTCATTAATATAGAAATTTCCACAGCTATTTATATATTAGAAAAAAAAACCAGAATGAGAAATACTATTTTGTATATAACTAAAAGAGCAACTTTTACAGTTTGGGATTTATATTAAGGTAGTAAGTGGAAATAATAGTGAACACAACAAAAAAATTAATGCCCAGGTCAGAGTATAATTTTGGTAAGGTTCAGTTGTATCATCTCAATATGTAAGTTATTTATCACAAAGTATATACCATTTACCATATATTCATAAATTGTAGGAGATAAAACAGGGAAGTATAAAAATGCTGTCTTCAGTTCAAACAGGCCATACTAGCATGAGTAGATAAACTGAGACAAGCAGAAGCTCAGTCAGGCCCTGTGCCCACCAGATGAGAGTCAAAGGTTCTAACAAAGCCCGACTGGCCAGCAACACTCTGTCCCTGTCTGTACGTATCCTACTAACTAGCAAAAATGCCAAGCATCGTGCTTTCATTTCGAGAGGAGCTAGAGAAAATGTATCACAATCCTAATTAGTCTTATTAAATACAAACCCAGAGTCCGATATTAGGGCGGGAAAGCTGGCAGATCAGAGCAACAGAGCAGCCAGCCACTAGAGTTCTTAAATAGGCAAGATCCTGGCTCTACAAATCTGCAAACCAAATGCGATGAACTCCTGTCTCCTGCCTTATGTTCCTCTCTCCACCCAGTCACATCTCTTCCTGTCTCCACCTCCTTAGTGCTGGGATTAAAGATATGCGACTTCCAAATACTGGGATTAAAGGTGTGAGCCACCACTGCCTGGTTCCCAGCAACCACGGCAGTTTTGTGTTGCTCAAACCACCTATAACTCTAGCTTCAGGGAAATCTGTCACCTTTGGCCTCTGTAGGAGCCCACACTTACAAAGAGATATATTCATTCATTTACATACACACACACATACACGCGCACACATAGTATTTAAGTTTTCAAAGATAACGAAGCTAGGCCTGGCAACATAGCCCTAAATTCCCAGTTCTTCAGAGAGATGAGGCGAGAAGATACAAGTTTGAGGCTGGCCTGAGAGACAGCTACGGTTCAAGGTCAGCCTGGGTAGGTGGTGGGTCTCAGTGGTAGGGACACAGCCAGTGCAGAAATCACCTGGGAAGCAGAGAGAACGAAAGCAAAAGGCAACAGGCCAACTCTTTCTAACAACTAATTACAACTAAGAGGTTAGTTCCCATTCTCATGTGTTCTGGTCCAGCCCCACACCTCAAACCCCTTCTCAGAGCTCTGCCACAGTGCTCTACTTCTCATTAGGCTCGACAGGACCAGGTCTCTAGCATGTGAACCTAGGCAGAAACCAGATCCAAAGCAGAGATAAACTCCTGCTGCTTTGAAGACAGAGCGGCCTTCCATCACCTGGATAGAGGAAAAGTCACACCGCAGTGACAAGAGCCACAAAAGCAAAATACATTGCAGAAAACTGAGACACGTTTTACAACAGAACACCTTCCAGCATCGTAGTGGGACTGTGTCAAGTGGTTGCTCAATCCAGATGTGTTTAAATTTCACCCTTGCCGTCACTTAAACCACCAGTGCCAAAATATTTCTTGATGAAAGCCAGCCAATTAGTAACTGCTCATATACGTACCTTTCCTGCTGTGCCTGGAAATGATCTGATAAAAGGAAGGAAAAGTACAGCTCGTTATTCCAAAGCACACACATTCCTACACAAATGCATGGATACTAACTGACGGAGACTGAACACAGAGACACAAGGAAACCATCCATTAGAAGGCTAATAGAATTGGTTACTTCATTAAAATGAGCATATTCCCTACATTCAAACAAATAACATATTTTAATATATAAAATAAATTAATTCTCAGTTTCCTATGTCATTGGTTGAATATTTTAATGTCTGTTACTCTTTCACACAATGACTTAGTCATAAATGTGGCAGTTTTTTTTAATCCACATCTTATAAAAAGCCAACTTCTCAAAAGATTTCTTGTTTAAATCCAAACTTAAAACAGAAGGAAGTTTTACAATCACTTTGATTCCTGCCCCTCACTGTTGGCATCACCCCTCGAAGCGCTTCTGTCCTTACCAGTGCAGTGTCGAGGAAGTCTTCCAACGCCTTCGTCAGCAGTGCATCTGAGGCCGTGTCTTTTGTCGTCAGAAATCCTGTTACCATTTCAAACCAGGAAACCATGTGCACAGAAGAGAGGCTGATGGAACCACATGGTCCAAGTGAGTACCACCTACTCCCCAAGATTTACAAGATAATCTCCTGCTATAGAAAAAGCAGCCTGAAAACCTTTTCTCTCACATAAGACAGGCTTCCCATCCACCAAGAGCAAGTCAGAAAGGATGCATGTGGTCCAGAATTACTATGAGGAGGGTCACACACAGCAGTAAGAATGGGACACTTGAATGAAGAGCAAGATGTGTTAAGATCAACAGAAAGTTTTTGATGAACTTTGTTTGATCATATTCAGGAAGTCTATTCAAATAGTTAGAGGCTAGCTCCCTGCTCACCTCATCTTCCCCAAGTCTCCAAAATGATCCCTATCATGCCATTACCAGCTGAGCTGAGCACACAAAGAGCCCAGCACTTGGGAGGCTGAGGCAGGAAGACCGCTATAAGTTTGAGGCTAGCCTGGGGCTATAAGCAAGCATTTCTCCCATAAAAATCTGTAGATCTAGATATATAGACAGCTGTGGAGATGGCTCAGCAATTAGAAGAACAATTACTCTTGCAGACGACCAGAGTTTGTTTCCATCACCCATATATCTGGCAGTTCAAAACCACCTATGAACTCTAGCTCCAGAGTTTTGGTACCTCTGAATACCACAGGTACCTGCACACAGACACAATTTTAAAACCAAAGAGGAGCTTGAGAAATAACTTAGTTGTGTCATGCAGAAAGTCTTACATTTTATATTTTATACCCAGCTCAGGAGCTGGAGGCAGGGAGAGCAGAAGTTCAAGTTCATCCTCATAGTAAGTTTGAGACCAGCCTGATTTAAGCCAACCCTGTTCCCTCTGCCCTAGCACAATGCCATCACCACACAGGCTTGTCAAGAACAGCAGCCACTTATTACACAACTGCGTGATTCCATATGTCCTCAAATGCTCTGCCTTGGGGACATGAGGTCTTGGCTCAATAGTAGAGCATTTACCTAGCTTATGCAGAGTCTGGGTTCAAGCCCCAGAACTTCAGATACAAGGATAACTGAAATGTTCCACACAATTTGAATGCATGGGACAGAAGCAACAAGGATGGGCTCTATTTTTTTTTCTTCCAATTTGATTTCAAAGGAAGAAAACATAGCAAACTATCTAATTAAATTTATACTAGCTTCTCATTTTGGGTTTGTTTTGTTTGTCTGAGAAAAGGTTTCTCTGTGTAGCTCTGGCTGTCCTGAACTCACTCTGTAGACCAGGCTGGCCTTGAACTCAAAGTTCCTCCTCCTTCTGCCTCCAAGTGCTGGGATTAAAATCATGCGTCACCATGACCCCAGCATACTACTTTTTCTTTTACTCACCCCGCCCCCACCCAGAGCCTGGCACACCTTAGGCAGGTGCTCCCTCCCACTCTCGGGCAGCACCCCCAGTTCCTCACACTGATTCTCTAAATTGTCCCACGTCTCCTAACTGTGAAGTGCACTTATCTTTGGGACCAGCCCTTGCTGAATTAACAAGGGTTCCTTTTGGTCCCCGTTGTCTTTAAGGAATCTCTGGATACATTTCAGCAGCAGGGAACAATTCTGGAACTCCTTTTTATCCAGTTCCTGGGCATCAGAACACAGAGATTTCAAATCAGAATGCTTCCTGGTGTGCATGCATTGGGTTTCAGTCCCCAGACAAACCAAACCACTTGCCTCATTTATCGATCTGTCGAGATGGTGCAGGAAGAGGTGGTTATATTTTTGAGGCACATAGCTCTCTTTCTGCTGCAGATAGTCTTCTATTATGTGAAACCCTTTGCCATGGAGCGCATCAGTAACGAGAGACTGAAGCTGGGAAAGAGATGGTTTGTGGATTACTAGTTTTCCAAAGCACATTGGCTTTATATTGATAGTTCAAAATAACGGTGTACTCAACAAAAGTTCTCTGAGAGTTGGGGGTGTAGCTCAGTGGTAGAGCTTTCTCCCAGCACAGGCAGGGACCTGGGTTCAAGGTGCAGCACCACCAAAGAAATGAATCATTTTAATTTTGCAGCTGGGGATATGGTCTAGTGGTGGAACACTTATCTAGCGTGGGAAAGACCCTCTGTTGGCAACACTATCACTGCAAATAATGATTCTAATTCGCTGTGAAACAACAGAGCAAAAATACAAAAAAAGACATCAGTCTTGACTTACAAAATAGCAAAATGTCTGTTGACAATCACTCAATAAGATGTCAGTTTTCATTAGCTTTAGACAAAAGGTCTAGAGGTGGTAACTACAAAATAGCAAAATAGTCTACTGATAGTCACTTATCAAAATGTCAGAGCCTTCATTAGCATCAGACAAAAGTTCTAGATGCAGGGCTGGAGGGCTCCTGCAGCAGCTGCAGGTGTGGGGCTGGGGGGACTCCTGCAGCAGGTGCAAAGCTGGGGGGACTCCTGCAGCAGCTGCAGGTGCTGGGCTGGAGGGCTCCTGCAGCAGCTGCAGGTGCTGGGCTGGTGGGACTCCTGCGGCAGCTGCAGGTGCTGGGCTGGAGGGCTCCTGCAGCAGTTGCAGATGCGGGGTTGGTGGGGCTCCTGCAGCAGCTGCAGGTGCGGGGCTGGAGGGCTCCTGCAGCAGTTGCAGATGCGGGGCTGGTGGGGCTCCTGCAGCAGCTGCAGGTGCTGGGCTGGTGGGGCTCCTGCAGCGGCTGCAGGTGCAGGGCTGGTGGGGCTCCTGCAGCTACTGCAGGTGCGGGGCTGGGGGGCTCCTGCAGCAGTTGCAGATGCGGGGCTGGTGGGGCTCCTGCAGCAGCTGCAGGTGCTGGGCTGGTGGGGCTCCTGCAGCGGCTGCAGGTGCAGGGCTGGGGGGACTTCTGCAGCTACTGCAGGTGCGGGGCTGGGGGGACTCCTGCAGCAGCTGCAGGGGCAGGGCTGGAGGACTCCTGCAGCAGTTGCAGATGCGGGGCTGGGGGGACTCCTGCAGCAACTGCACCTCCTCTGGGTTTCTTAGAGCTCAGACTCCCTATGGACCCTGTTTGAGCTGAAGAACCATGGACTTGAGGAAAGCTGTGCTTTGATTACAGGAAAACAGGAGAAAGCACTCCGTAATGTTGCAGAGTCTAAACCAAAACATTCAAGTCTAGGCTCACCCACCAGGGGTCAGAAAAACAACAGAGGAAAGAAAAGGAAAACTAATATCTAGAATAAAGCAAGGTCTTCCTTGCCTGGGGTCTTTTCACACAGTTAGGATCCTTATCACTGTCCCTTTAAGGAAGCTCACTTTCCTGCCCCAGAAGCAGGTTAAGAACCAACTTAAAAGCAGGGCTTTCAGGACCACCTTAAATGAAGCAGTTCAGATGCTTTCTTGCCCTACAACCCCGCTCCTATTAGGTTTCTAAATTCCCTGATGATAGGCATGGGATTTGTTTTATTCAGAGCTGTCTACTTCTGCCTGGAATAGGTGCTAAACACAGAATAATTTACCGTAGGGTTCTGGAGGGATAATTTGAGTGAAATCCCACAGGCATGGTTATAACGTCATACCACAATAGAGAAAGCCAAGGTTTCTCTGCTCCAGGCTAAATGAACAATAAATAGTGCTGAGGAGCCCACAGAACTCCCAACTATAACACATATAGAACAGAAAATAAGCTTTATCGTTACCCAGAAAGCACCTTGGGTCTTGCCAGTTCCAGTGTCCTCCTTAACAGACTGCAGAGGGTTTTCATTTTTCTGTGTGCAATAAAAAGTTAGTCTTAAAAAAAATAAAAGTCAAATACACATTTCAAGTTCTAAAAATAAACATAAGAAAAGTTTATGTTGCTTTTTTTGAACAAGAGTTTGTTGTTTGTACATAATACTAGTCATAGGTTTAAATAAAATAGTGTTTTTTTAATGTTATCTCCTTTGACATGGTCTATGTAAACAAAGCACCATCTCATGAGAAAAAAACCTGAATAAATGTCCATAAAGGATAAACATAAACTTTATAGAGAGCACCATAAATTAGAAAGGGGCTATAAGTTAAAACATTCATTTTTAAATTCAAATCCACATTCAAAATTCATATTACAAGTCATAATAAGGAATTATATTCAAAATGTCGTTATAGTTAGGACATAAAGTTTAACATTCGGACTTATATAGTGAAATTTCAAGGCTTAATAAGGAATTATATTCAAAATGTCGTTATAGTTACGACATAAAGTTTAACATTCGGACTTATATAGTGAAATTTCAAGGTTCAAACAGCCACAGCACACAGAAGAGGTTTCCAAGCATGAAGTGGGCTGGTACATTTTCATCAAGGGGTGTTGCCTGGTCAATGGTTCTGCTTTTACACACAGCCCCCTGACAATTTCATGGGAAAGTACAGGGCACACAAGATAAATCTCTGCTAAACCCTGGGGTTGGCTACAGTGGTACCACCTGTAATCCTAGCACTTGGGGGGGGGGGGAGGGTTGATCAAGAGTTCAAAATTACCTTCAGCTACACGGAAAATTTACAACAGCTGGGCAAATGATACCCCGTCTCACACAAGACAAAAGAAAAATCTACTTTAGAATAACACTTATTTCTAGGAACTTAATCAAAATCCCTAATGAATGTCAAGTGTATTTTGCAGCTTTGTCACCATCGTTATGTATAAATAGGAGAAATCAAAGTCCCGTGTCCATCTAGAAGACTGAAGTTTTTCACAGTCAATGGCAGGAAATTGAGAGCTGAAAAGCGGGCGCTCAAGGGAAATTAAGACCCTATCTGTTGCCAGGATTGTCCTTTTCTTGCTGGTGGCTGGGTTACCGGGTCCGGGAAAGAGATAAAGAGGTCTGTAGAAGCGAAAAGCGCTCCATAGTTCTCGCAAAAGAGCTGCGTGGTTCCAGTCCTCCATTCTCCCTCCGCAGTGGCTTTTTGAGCCCGGAATCAGGATCCCTGTTGTTTCCCCCTCTTCCTGAACGCTGCCAGTCAGCGACAAGCAAACCCAAGAGGTTGTTGCGCCCCAGGGTTCCCTGGTACACGCCACCTTCCCCCCGGACTTATCTGAACCGCCAAACGAAAAGTGCTGGGCCTCTGCGCCCGTGGGAGCTGCCTAGCCCGCGAGCCAGGGAGCACAATGCTCCCTCAGCCTGGGACCCTGGAATGGAGGCTGGGCTCCTCCCCAGATGTCACTCACCTCTGGCATCTCGAGGTTTCAAGCGACACTGCCTCCGGAGGGTCTGCTAGCCCAGCTGCACAGCACCGCTCCCGCCTCAGCTAGTCCGAGATCCCCACTGTGAGCAAAGCGAGAAATAGTCGCAGATGACTCTTGGAGCTCAGTCTGCTCCAGGAACTCCAATTTGATGAACCTGCTCCTGAACTCTACAAGCCTCCGGTGTCTGTGATTTTAGAAAGCACGTGTACCTAGAACAACAGGGTCAGGCTGCGGACTTGGGCGCACACCTGCGGAAGTTCTGAACTCGCACCCTGTGCCTAACGCCCTTGACGTTTACTTCCCTCTGGAATCTAACCAAGCTGTGGGGGCTTGGGATTGGTTTAGTTTCAGGGTCTCATTCTGCACTCTAGACTGATCCGGAGCTCCATCTGTACCCCCAAGCTACAGAAGACGTTTGCCTACATGAACAAAAAACACATGTATCTATAATCCCTGTTTAAATCCCTGTATAAACTGCAACCGTGTCAGTTTATCTAACCAGTACTGAACAGATCAGCTCCCAGAAAATTGTGATATCAATACACTGCAGTTATTTTACCTATTTTAACCTAAACCTTGCGAATTCAGAGGCTTGCTCCTTCCTTGAATAACAGATTCTTGCATATTAAATAGCGGTCAAGAATGCGGCGGCGGACAGGAAGGCAGAATATCTTACAGCAGTGCAAATACCGACGTGGGGAAGAAAGCATCATCTCTAAGAAGCGGCGGTCGAAATGCAACTGAAATGTATTTCACTTCAGAGAATAAAAGTCAATTTTTAACATTAGACAGGAAATATCATTTTCAGAATTTGGAAGAAATTAGATACTCCCGAACCCTACAGTGGCAATGCATCCCAATCTTCAGATATTATTAAAAGCAATGAGAAGCATCAATACACCATAACTTATTGATATTTTCACTTTGATTAGCTTCTTTTACCCCCACACAATTATAGGGTAACCCGAAGCACGTGTTTGAATTCTTCACAAACTAAATACCTTCTTGCTGTTTCATTTTTGTTTTCTGAGACCAGGTCTCATGTAACCTGTTATGGCCTCAAACCTTTGGTCTTCTTGCATCTTTCTCTCAGCTACTGGCATTACAGGATTGCACCATCACCCTGGGCTGAGGACATTGAAGGGGGGTTGTTTCCTCCCTCCCCCCAAACAAATTAGTCTGCCTTTAACATAAAGTTACGTGTTCTATTTGTGTGGCAGAGGTCAGAGCACCAACCTCCAGGAGTCTGTTCCCTCTTCTCAGGGTCCAACTCAGACCTTTACGCTTGTTCAGCGAGTACTTTCACCCATTAAGCTGACTCGTGGGCCCATCATTTATGTTTTTGAAGAATCGGCTCTAGGAATCTTCCAAAAGCATAAAGAGGAGGAACATTCTAACAATGTTTGCCGCGTGGCCAGAAATTGATCTTTATACATTTTCAGCGGTCGTGTTAAATGGCCGCTTTTGAAGTTATTTTTAATATATTCAAAAACATAAACTGTCTTAAGCTGTCACATTTAATTTTAAGGTTTAAATTTGTTTTTAAAACAATCAATAGTTTAAACTTAATTTTGAAAGCCAAGCCAACAAATAAAGCAACTGAATGGCGCAAGTAGCCTGGACCCCCACCGTCTGTAACATGAGGTCCCAGTGAAAAGTGGCAAGACACATTGCTGTCCCCAGCTACACTTCAGTAAGGTCCCTGCGAGAGCGACTTTTAGAA